GAAAAAGAGGTGACCATCACCATGCCGAATGGAGAAACCTCAGTGGCCACAGTGAGAATCTGGAATGAAACGGTGTCCAATCTGACTCTGATGGCGCTGGGATCATCGGCTCCTGAAATCCTCCTGTCGGTCATTGAGGTCAGTGAGGCCGTTTGTTACAGTTAACAACATAACCACCAATTACACTCACAGCAGATGGCTAAACCCTCATTAGCCATCCTGAGGTTTTACTGTTTCATTAGCAACATCACTACTCCATTAAACTGCTGCTCTGTCTGATCATTTCTCTTGCATTGAAGCATGATAAATCCATCATTTATAGGCTCGTGATATTAAAATATGAGCTTTTAGCATTTTCAAATGTATGGTCTGTCTTTTTGTGTATTTTCTTCATGATAAAAGAAACTAAATCTAAAACTAGAGTAATAAAACCGACTGGAATACAATAATATACATTTTATACATTGTATTAGTTTTACATAGATTGTAGAAGGATATGCATTTGTTTGTTTGTTAGTTTCCAATGAAACATTTCTTATTTTCATACAGTAATGTATATATTATAATTGGAATGATAATAAAATACAAATTAAAACTTTATAGACACATTTAAATAAAAAAGACAAAAAGCAAACACAACAAAATAACTAAAACCTAGTTCCCAATATTATCAAATACTTCAGTAATACTTCAACTGAATACTAATTTAATTAATTAAAAACAATGGGCCCTAATATACACCTGGCGCGACAAGGCACAAGACATGCATGGCATGATTTGTTGCTATTTTTATAACAGTGCAACAGTAATTTTCACGTTTTGCACCACGATGTTTGAAAAACAAATCCATTTGCGCCCCTTTGTGGACTCATGAGTGTGCCGGTCTGAAAAGGAAGTATATTAAGGCACATTGCTATTTTGTGAAACTGAACTAAAAAGCTGGTCTAAAGTCCAGTGCAGAGCCCGTTAGTTATGCTCAAAACACTCCCATAACTCGTTAAGAGAATAAGCACAGCCCAATTACACCATGCGCTGGGGCGCAGAGCATATTTTTCCATCCTTAAGATATCAAAAGGGCCCTGAATGCTTTTGCGCCAAACACTTTAGACTTTGCTCCTAGATTGTTAAAATAGAGCCTTATGTGTCTATGCAAATCTGGCAAGCTTTCTAATTTCTAATTGAAATTCTAAATTTCTCAGGTTTTTTTTTTCAGTGTAGTATATTAGTATTGCTTTGCTACATTTTTTTAGTGTAAACTATAGAAATAAAAAGCCTAAAAACGTTTAGGTGGCTTTGTTGCTCTTAGCTGGTCTTTAGGCTTAATTCCAGTCCTTTCACAATGGCTTTGCACACGTTATCTTTGGCCAGAACTTTTGGAGTGGCTTCATAGCACTTTCAGATGGAGATGTTAGTGAGATTCCCGCTGTGTGAGATTGTGAACGTGCTAATGAGGGTCCAGATCATATTTGTTAATGAAACACAGGACTCCTGGGTCATCCGTCTCAGATCTGTGCCACTCTGCGATGGATGGATAGATAGGTTCAGATTAGATAGATACATTTGTAGGTGAAAGAATTGTTGAGTGGATGGAAGGATGATTTAGATGCATAGACTGAGGTATAGGTGGATAGAAGAATGGATCATTGGATGATGGATGATGGATCTATGGAGAGATTGATAAAAGAATTGAACATTGGATGGATAGAAGAATGGATGGATAATAAATTATGTATGGGTGGATGCAGGGATGGACCAATAGATCTAAGATTGGATTATTGGTTTGAAAGATCGGTGGAGTGATGGATGGAGAGATGGAGGGATGGATGGATTTATAGGATGATGAAAGAATGTATGGATAGATAGATAGATAGATAGATAGATAGATAGATAGATAGATAGATAGATAGATAGATAGATAGATAGATAGATAGATAGATAGATAGATAGATAGATAGATGGATGGATGGATGGATGGATGGATGGATGGATGGATGGATGGATGGGTAGGTGGATGGGTAGGTGGATGGGTAGGTGGGTGGGTGGGTGCATAAATGGATGGATGGATGGATTGATGGATGGATGGATGGATGGATGGATGGATGGGTAGGTGGGTGGCTGGGTGGATAAATGGATGGATGGACGGATGGATGGGTAGGTGGGTGGCTGGGTGGATGGATGGATGGATGGATTGATTTAGATTTGATAGAGACATTCGTAGAAGAAAAAAATTGTTGAGTGGATGGAGGGATGATTTATATGAATAGATTGAAGTATAGATGGATAAAAGGATGGATGGATGGATGGATTGATGCACGGATGGATGGATGGATGGATGGATGGACGGATGGATTTAGATTTGATAGATACATTGGTAGAAGAAAAAAAGTTGAGTAGATGCAGGGATGATTTAGATGTGTAACGCCGGGGAGTGACACCACAACAGAAGGTAGGATCCAATATGCAGGTTTATTCTTTGTCAGGCAAGCAGTGGTCAATACAGGTATGAACAGGTATGTTTGGGCAAATCCAGAGTCGAAGTCAATAAACAGGCAATGGGTCGAAAGGCAGGCCGCTAAAACGGATAATTAGGATAAACAGGGCTAAGAACAAAACACAGGAAGACAAGATCAGGATAACGCGTTGTAATGTCACTAAACAGTAAACAAGACTCGGCAAACTGAAGGGGTGAATGTGTGGCTTAAATACTGTGTGTAATCAGTCTCTGAAAGTCCTCAGGTGTGCAAATGTAATCAAGCTAGATGAGCGAGCAGGTGTGTGGGTGAAGAGCATGTATGAAGTTGAAGTCCATTAACTGGCAGATTTGTAGTTTCATGACTGAGGGTTTACCAGCGACATCTGGTGGTTTGTTCACTGGTAAACATGACAAGATGAATAGATTGAAGTGGATAAAAGATGAATAAAAGGATGGATGGATGGATGCACGGACGGACAAACGGACGGATGGATAGATGGATGGATGGATGGATGGATGGATGGATGGATGGATGCACGGACGGACGGACGGGCGGATGGATAGATGGATGGATGGATGGATGGATTAATAGGATGATAAAAGGATGTATGGATTGATATAGTAGAACGGATCATTGGATGAATGGATAGATGGATACATCATATATGGGTGGATGCAGGGATGAATTGATCTATAGGAACAATGGCTGGATAGATAGATAGATAGATAGATAGATAGATAGATAGATAGATAGATAGATAGATAGATAGATAGATAGATAGATAGATAGATAGATAGATAGATAGATAGATAGATAGATAGATAGATAGATAGTTTAATTTGATGATGGATGGATTATTGGTGGATGAAAATATGAACAGATTAAAAGATGGACTACTGGATGAAAAGTGGATTAATAGATAAAAAATCCATCACATGATTGAAAGACGTGTGGAAGGTTGGATTAATTTTTAGAAGAACCAATGGATAGAGTACAGGTGGATAAAGAAAAGATGGATGAATGAATAAACAATGGGTCATTGGATGGATTAATGGACAGTAAATTATGTATGGCTGGTTGCAGGGATGAATTAATAGACAGAAGAATGAATCAAAGAAAGATTGTTGGAAAAATGGATAGATTTTTAGGTGAATGTATGAATGGAAAAAAAATAGGTGGATGGCAGGAAATATGGATCACTAGATAGAAGAATGGATGATGGTGTCATTGGAGTCAAACAGCTCCATGACTCTCGGAGATGTAAGTGAGGCTCCTGCTGTGTGAGATTGAGCTCCTGAAATGAGGCTCCAGATCATGTTTATTAATGGAACACAGAACATTCAGCAGGTCTCAGATCTGTGCATCTCTGACTGCAAGAGACACTCACCACATTTAGCACATCAGCAGACCTTTGCTGCACCACATTTGTCTCTTCACATTAATTGTCATGAGATATAATGTGTAGGGACGTCTCTGCACTGGAGAGCTTCGCACAGAACAGCAGGATTATCACTCTAAAGCTAATGCTGGGCGGTGCAATGTGACAACATATATCGTTTGGACAAAATAACAGTCTATCATTTCATACCATGCTCTATAGTTTATTTTTAGGTGTCACAAAATACTTTGTTTACTTGAATAATTAACATAACAGTTAAGCCTTTAAATTGCACTTTAAGCTTAATAATCTTGTTATTAGGTTATTACACATATTGTGATATATATATATCATTATTAGGATATTAAATTACTTATACCATGGTGCAAATATATGTACAGTTGAAGTCAGAATTATTAGCCCCATGAATTAATAAACACCCCCCTGTTTATTTTGTCCCCAATTACTATTTAACAAAGAGCAGATTTTTTCAACACATTTCTACACATAATAGTTTTAATAACTCATCTCTAATAACTGATTTATTTTATTTTTGCCATGTTGACAGTAAATAATATTTGACTAGATATTTTTCAAGACACTTCTATACAGCTTAAAGTGACATTTAAAGGCTAAACTAGGTTAAGAAGGTGAACTAGGCAGGTTCGGGTAATTAGGCAAGTTATTGCATAATGATGGTTTGTTCTGTAGACATTCAAGAAAAAAATTAGCTTAAAGAGGCTAATAATATAGTCCTTAAAATGGTGTTTAAAAATTAAAAACTGCTTTTATTCTAGCCAAAATAAAACAAATAAGACTTTCTCCAGAAGAAAAAATATTTTCAGACATACAGTGAAAATTTCCTTGCCCTGTTAAACATAATTAGGGAAATATTTAAAAAAGAACAAAAAAATTCAAATTCGACTTCAACTATATATATATATATATATATATATATATATATATATATATATATATATATATATATATATATATATATATATATATATATATATATATATATATATATATATATATATATATATATATATATATATATATATATATATATATATATATATATATATATATATATATATATATATATATATATATATATATATATATTTATTATAACATTAGATTACTTATATCATGATATATGTTATTATTAGGATAGATTACTTATATCGCAACATATATATCGTTATTAGGATATTAGATTAATTGTATCACAACATAAATATCGTTATTAGAATATTAGATTACTTATAGCATGATATGTATCGTTATTAAGATATTAGAAGACTTATATTGTGATATATATTGTTATTAGGATATTACATTACTTATATCATGCTATATGTTATTATTGTTATATTACATTTCTTATATCGTAAAATATATCAATATTAGGATATTAGTAAGATTACTTACATTGTGTTATATATCATTTTTATGATATTAGATGACTTATATCTTGATATATAGCATTATTAAGCTATATATATATATATATATATATATATATATATATATATCGTGATTAGGATATTGGATTACTTATATCATGATATGTATCATTAGCAAAATATTAGAAGACTTATATTGTAATATATCATTATTAGGATATCAGATGACTTATATGATGATTTATACTTTATCGTTATTAGGATATCAAATTACTTCCATATTGCTATATATCATTATTAGGATATTACATTACTTATATTGTGAAACATTGTTATTAGAATATTAAATTACTTAAATCATGATATATATTGTTATAAGAATATTAGATTACTTATATCCACAAATATATATTGTTATTAGGATATTAGATTACTTATCATGATACTTTTATTAGGATATCAAATTATTTATATCATGCTTTATATCATTATTAGGATATCAGATTGCTTATGTCAAGAAATTAGATTTTGATTATTTCACCCAGCACTAGTAATGCATCTCAGCAGCATAATCATGATGCATCATTCATCTTGAAGAACAGCAGTCTTGTGTGAAGGAGACGCTGAATATCTGGCTGATTTTGGCGTCAGAAGTGTGAAATCTCATTGCAAGCTCAGCTGGAATGGAGGCGCGGGTGAATTATCTGTTTGTCACAGCCCCGTCCCGAAGGTTCACTGGTGTAGATGTGGAGCGATATCAGCGATTGTGCCACGGTTTGAGAACAAACACCTGCGCTTTTCATTTCAGTCTTTCGGCTTCATCTTAGCCAAGGACGTTCGCTTCATGTTCAAGGATGTTCAGTGAATGTGTTTTATCTCGCCGCTGCATTGATTCTATTGAGCTTGAATAAAACCTAGTTCTCTTTGAGCTGATGTTGAACGATCTGTTTGTTGTTTTATTATTCTGTTATTGAATTAAACCCTTGAAAGGGGACCGTTGATATATATATATATTTTTTACAAGATGTAAAACAAGTATCTGATGTCCCTAGTGTGTGTGTGTGTGTGAAGTTTCAGCTTAAAATAAGACTCAAATAATGTTTTAATTTCTCTGAAACTACTCCTTTTGGGCTTTTATGCTAATTGTGTTACTTTGGCGACTCACTTGAAATTAAAATGAGATTGTGCTCTTTTCAAAAGAAAGTGGGGCTACAGATGCATATGTGTCAGCATAGTGGCAGATTCAAAAACAAGATTAACGTCCTATGCTAATGAAGAAGAAATGGTCACTAATGGGCGGGGCCACGTACAAAGGGAGAATGTCAATTAAAGTGCTTCTGCAGACTGTTTTTATCAAGTGTGATCATAACAAATTATTGTTAAAGCTGTTGTTGTTTTATTATTATTATTAATATTATTGTTATCATTATTATTATTACCAGCATAAGTATATTATAGTTATCACGTTATTAATAATCCATCATACTGTTAGTTAAATTCTTCTTAATATTATTCTTTACTTTGTGTTTGTATAATTCGTAATTATCATTATTATAGTAGTTTTTTTCTTTTCTTTTTTCTTTTTTTTATTATTCTCATTGTTTTGTCTGCTGCACTTTATTTTTCGACTCCCTTTTCTTCCTTTCCTTTTCTTCTATTCCTCCCCTTTTCTGTTTTTTTCTTACCCTTCTTTTCTTTTCCTCTCTTTCCTCTTATTCCTACAACTATTAATATTATTATTATTATTATTATTATTATTTATTATTATTATTATTATTATTATTTATTATTATTATTATTATTATTTATTATTATTATTATTCGTATTATTTATTATTATTATTATTATTATTATTTATTTTTATTATTATTATTATTATTATTTGTCCTCTCCCTGATTTCCCAACCTCCCATCACCTCTTCCCTTTTATCATTAATGGTATTACTTTTACTTTGTTATAATTATAATTTTTCTTACTGTTTTGACTTGTCCTCCTGTTATCTCCTCATTATCATAAGTATTCATACCATTGTCGTTATTAAGGTTACTGTAGTTGTTGTAGTAGTAGTAGTCATTGTAGTAGTATCGACTGCAGTTGTGATTATTGAAGTAGTAGTTGTAGTGGTTCTTGTAGTAGTTGATGTCGTAGGTATAGTGGTATCAGAAGTAGTAAAGTTGTTGTAGTAGTAGTAGTAATCGTTGTTAATGTAGTAGTATCAGTAGTAGATGTTGTAGTAGCAGTGATTCCTGTAGTAATATCAATAGTAGTAGTGGTAGTAGATGTTGTTGTAGCAGACGCTGTAGTAGTATCAGTAGTGGTAGTCATTGTTGTAGTAGTATCAGTATTAGTAGACATTGTAGTAGTAGTAGTCGTGGTTGTGGCTGTAGTAGCAGCAGTAGTAGTTGTAATATAAGTAACTTTCTAAACTAGTTGTTGGTGTAGTACTTGTGATTTATTATTATTATTTTGTCAGTTATTATTACTATTGTTCTTTCTTTTTAATGTGTATTATAATGTATAACGTTTTGAGGTTTAATTCAATATGCATAAAGAATGATGAATTATCCTAAATAGTCGTAATTATACACCTGCATAACATTAATTCTATTTGTATATACATATCTTTGTAGCATTAATCAGTGCTATTGTTAACCAAATCTAAAAACATTCATTCGTTCATTCATTTTCCTTTTTCAGTGGCCGCCACAGCGGAATGAACCGCAAACTATTCCAGCATATGTTTTACGCAGTGGATGTCCTTTCAGCCACAACCTAGTACTGGAAAACATCCATACACTCTCACATACACTCATACACTATGGCCAATTTTGTTTATCCAATTCACTTATAGTGCATGTCTTTGGACTGTGGGGGAAACCGGAGCACCCGAAGCAAACCCATGCCAACATGAAGAGGACATGCAAACTCCACACAGAAATGCCAACTGGCACAACTGGGACTCGACCCCGCGACCTTCTTGATGTGAGGCGACAGTGCTTGCCACAAAGCCACTGTGTGACACTGTGTTTCCCAGTACTGGGTTGCAGCTGGAAGGGCATCCGCTGAGTAACTCCACATTGCTCACTCCACATTGCTGTATAACAGACCTCAGATGTTCTCTGACTGTGAATGTGTGTGTTTGTGTGTGTGTTTCAGGTCTGCGGTCATGGGTTTAAATCTGGAGAGCTGGGTCCGGGCACCATTGTGGGCAGCGCTGCCTTCAATATGTTTGTGATCATTGGCATCTGCGTGTGGGTGATTCCTGAAGGGGAAGTGCGCAAGATCAAGCATCTCAGAGTCTTCTTCATCACAGCCTTCTGGAGCATCTTCGCTTACATCTGGCTCTACCTGATCCTGTCCGTCATCTCACCTGGAATCGTGGAGGTGTGTTTATGTGTGTGTGTGTGTGCCAAAATATAGTCCTCTTTTTTATTTCTGGAAGTATTTTCCCAATAGAGATTTAAAGTACACATGAAATCAGAACTAACCATATTGATTTTGTTAGCTCGCATTACCAGTTTTGTGCATGTCATTAAAAGAAAAACAAATAGTTTGCTCTTGTAATCTGAAACTGAAATCTGAAAATGCCCTTGGTGTTTGTTTTCAGTTCAATTCTCAGATTAGGTCTGACTAAAGTATTGGGCGTGGCTAACATATAAACCACTCCCCTCCAGCTGTCAGTTTTGACAACAAACTGAAATTATGAGCAGGAGGAGTCTGTTAAGTTGTAATAACTCTCCTCAAACCCTTTCCCCCAATCTTTTTTTGAACGAAATGCCTAATTTACTACATCCAATCAGCTCGCTGTAGACAAAACAAGCCATGCCCACTGTTGTCTAATTTATTATTCTGTTTCTAAAAATGAAAAAAAATCTAATTTTCCCTAATTTTCAGGTTTGGGCCACGTTGTTTAAATAGGAAATCCATTTGCGTTACTTTTTGGACTTTTGGGTGTGCCGGTGGAGGTTTCTTAAGGTGCATTGTTGCACTTTGCTATTTTAAGGAACTGAATTAGACTGCGCCATTACAGTGCTGTTTTAAGCGCTGTTTAAAGAAAGCCATCAACAGTGCCTTAAATGTTAGCGTGAAACAGAAGTTTTTTATTTTAATTCAGTATCGTGACAAGTCTAATACTGCATTCACATCAGACGCGCGAGGGATTTACATCAAGTCAATGCAATGCAAACGCACGAATAAACATCCTGCGTCGCAATATGCGCGAATGGCGAGGTGCGAATGACGCAAATTGTGCGAATGGCGCAATACACACAAATGGCGCAGCGCGAATTAAGCGTTTTTCGCGCAAATTACTCAGCTTCGAAAATCTCAGCCGACATTCGCGCCGCGTTAACCAATCAGAAGCTTGCTCTTGTGGGGGCGTGATTGGGACGTAGAACCTATTGATAGTGTCCCGGGGGAAATCCTCCAAGCGACACCGACAACAAGTCATCAAACTGGGCTTGGCTCAATCAGAAGCACTGCTAAAAGCCTCCGTCATCCAGGTTCCGTTTCCTGGAGGAGTTCATGAGCTCACAGAGCTGGATGCACCTCTGAAAGAATCTAGTGGACTCAGACACGGCCCTAAACGTATCGACACTGTTCTTCAGCCTTCATAAAGCACATGAACACTGTTATTTTCTTCATAACATCCATGTTAGCCATTTAGCAACGAAGCTAGTGTCACCGGGCAGACAGAAGCCCTGCACATCACATGAATCCGCGTCTGTTCTGAAGCGAATTTGATGCGCGAATAAAACGGGGTTTGACGCGCGAATGAAGTGAGTAAACTCAAATGTTCACGCAGCAATTTACGCGTGAATAGCGCGATTTATCTGCGCATTCCACGTCTGGTGTGAACACAGCATAATATAGTGAAGGAATCAGTTCATTACTCGAGTTTGATAAATGACATCTAAAAAGTGTGTTTGGGAAAGAAAACATTAGCTAACTAGTGCCATTTCCCTTAACTTAGCTGAAAATGAGCTCTGATATCCCTTTTTATTTTCACCATTCATTCAGAACGGACCTTCGGGTCACTCGGAAGGAGGTGGAATAATACATTTGTGTCACTTTATCCTCGCTGATAAGATATACAGCCAAGTACACAACGTTTCTATGCAACTCCCAATGATACTTCCGGGTTTCTTCCCACTGCAGCCTCGACTTTGCTTTTAAAAATGGCGGCCTCGTGAAATCAGTCTATAGGAGGTAACATTCAATCGAATCTGAAACGACGGGCCCAATTTCCAATCACGTGATCCAGTAACAAAAAGTTGCTAGATTTGTTCATTGTTACTTTTTACAAAATTTGTAGCTAAGGGGGTCTGAAAAGTCTTTAAATATAGCGACAAAGTTGCTAAGTTCACAACACTGAAAATACTGACCTTAAAATGGTTTTTAAAAACTTAAAAACTGCTTTTATTCTAGCCGAAATAAAACAAATAAGACTTTCTTTAGAAGACAAAAATATTATCGGAAATTCCTCGCTGTTAAACATAATTTAGGAAATATTTAAAAAAGAAACAATTCACACAAAAGCGAATAATTTTGACTTCAACTGTATATTTAAAAAGCTTTTTTTTATTTAATGTCAACCTTTCTCTTATTTGCATAGTGACTTTTTAAACGACAATTAAATCCCTTTAGTGAGTGGCTGAAAATCTCATTCTCATTACTGCGGAGTGAGAAATAATAATATACTGTAATGAGAATCTAAAGGGAATCACCATTGAGAATATTGAGAGACTCCATGTAATAGTCTGGAGATCTTACAGTACAATGAGTATTTGTGAGTTAGATAGGACTGTGCTTAATTGCCATTAAAAAGTGTAAAGAGAAGAAAATCCCAATGCACTTTCATTAATGCAGCATCTTTTTTTCTCTCTCTTTTGGACTTTACTTGAAATGTGACCCAGACATGATGTTTGGAGATTTACTCATATTTACATACAGTGTATAATATGTATGTGCAACATCACTGTCGCTCTAAATGATTATAAATGTTGTTTATCCTCTGGTACTTCAGACAACAAGACCATATTGAGTCATTTGTAATGGTGAAGTGAGCTGGTGCCAGGCTGTTTGTCTCTGTCTGGTAGAGTTTAGTTTAGCTGGAAGAGCCACTTTGCATGGATCGTAGCACACTGTTTGTTTTATTTGTTGTTGGTTTTGTTGGCTATGGTGTTTTTTTCCCCTCTTGTATAGACCTTTTCACAAGACTGTTATTAGGTCAACATGATCTTAAATAATTTAGATCTTAAAGAATAATTTTAGACACTCATCTTTTAAAAGGGTTGGGTCTGGTGTTATTTCGATAACAGTGCTAAATTGATGCTTTTAAAACGATACCAGAGCCAAAAAAGGTGTCTGAAGCGATAATTTTGATCCACAAAATTATTTGACAATTTTTTTTTAGCATTTAAATTGAACAATATAATTGAAGTTTATTCATTGGTCTTCAATGAACCTAAACGAGCACATGTCACTCCGCTGCTAGTCCGTTTGCACTGGCTGCCAGTTGCTGCTCGAATCAAATTCAAAGCTCTGATGTTTGCCTACAAAGTGACTTCTGGCTTGCTCCTTCTTATCTGCGCTCACTTCTGCAGATCTATGTGCCCTCCAGAAACTTGCGTTCTGTGAATGAACGTCGCCTCGTGGTTCCATCCCAAAGAGGGAAGAAATCACTTTCACGAACGCTCACGCTCAATCTGCCCAGTTGGTGGAATGAACTCCCTAACTGCATCAGAACAGCAGAGTCACTCGCTATTTTCAAGAAACGACTAAAAACTCAACTATTTAGTCTCCACTTCACTTCCTAATCTGCAATTGCGTCTCTGAATATCACACTAACTGTACCAAAAAAAAAAAAAAAAAAAAAACTAATACTACTAATACTTCCCTTCTTAGACTTTACAGACCTGAAACTTGCCTATAGCACTTATTCATTGTTGCTCTTAGTTGTGTAAATTGCTTCCTTGTCCTCATTTGTAAGTCGCTTTGGATAAAAGCGTCTGCTAAATGACTAAATGTAAATGTAAGTTTAAAATATGCATTAATTCATATTGTAATAGATTTAAAAGCCCAACATTGAGAAATATGTAGTTAGATATAGACAACAAGATGAATTAAATATCACGTTTAACAAATATAGTCAGATTAGATCTAACAGTAGATCCTTGATGAACAGTCCGATGTGCACAGCTCTCATATGGGTAGACGTGCTCAAAGCACACTGCAGTGCATGTCAGTGTGTGTGTGTGTGTGGGGTCATGTGATGTGCATTTTCAGCGGTATAGTGTAGAGCAGGGGTCTCAAACTCGCGGCCCGCGGGCCATTTGCGGCCCTCAGTGCAATATTTTGTGGCCCGCGCCAACCGCTGTACTCTGACAGAATCAGCGGGGAGGGAGAGCGCTCCCCGCTCCGCTGATTCTATCCGTACACAGCGCGCTTGTCACTCAATGCACGTTGTCGCGCGCGTTCTGATCAGCTGTGTTGTAGCACGCGTACTCAAGAGCGGTGTTATCGCGCGCCTACTGAAGGGCGGGACCTAGGGTGTGCCGCGTCGCGGGGGCACTTTTGATCATTTTGGAAGGGCACTTTCTATGCAAGACTAAAAAGGGCATGTGCTCTGCACAGGTTGAGTCCTATGTGTGCATGTGCCTGCCCTGCATCTTATATATATTGATATTATAGGTAGATACAGACTGGTACAGACTGATGTGACTGGAGTGGGGTGGGGGCCTTTTTTTAGGTGAGGGAATGGAAGTTTTGAGTGAGTTCCCCCACTTTTTTCCTTAGGACTTCAATAAGTCAAAGTACAGGTCTAGACTTGATGATCATCTTCAAGCCATACTGAGGGTCTCAACTGCTTCCGCTCTAAAGCCAAATGTGGTTCAGATTTGTGAGAAGAAGCGCTGTCAAGTCTCTGGCAGCAAGGAGTAGGCAAAAGATGCCATGTTCAGAAGAACTGTTCATAATCTTCACTCAATCTTCTATTAATGTTCAGGACACTTCATGTTCAGAAGAAATAATTACAACTGTTAATAATGACATTTGAGGACTTTTTTTTGTGAAATCCCTTATGCGGCCCAGCCTCACCCAGACTTTGCCTCCTGCGGCCCCCAGGTAAATTGAGTTTGAGACCCCTGGTGTAGAGGGAGAGCTGTTCAGAAACGCTAGGTGAAACGCCAGTGTGGACGCGGATCGTTTTCATTCTAAAAAGCCATTAGTATTAGTGAAAACAAGGCCTTCATGTAAGCTACTTAATAGTAAAGTAAAAGCTCCAATCACACAGAGCAGCAGCGTTTGAAAACTAAAACAGCCTCTTCGGCGTTTTTGTAACAGGCCCGGCCGCAGAACTTTGACTTTAAAATGGTGTTTGAAAAATTAGAAACTGCTTTTATTCTAGCCGAAATAAAACAAATAAGACTTTCTCCAGACGAAAAAATATTATCAGACACACTGTGAAAATTTCCTTGCTCTGTTAAACATCATTTGGGAAATATTAAATAAAGAAAAAAATATTCAAAGAGGGGCTAATTATTTTGACTTCAACTGTATGCGTGCTTTGATGCACCGCTTGATGCTTCTTATATTCTTGTCACAATACCAGTGGCACCGAAATAAGGCACCAAAATTCGTGTGCTGATTCGGTCCGGCACATAACAGTTATAAAAGGACCCAAACCTAGTGTTTAATGCAGAATCTATGGGGCAGGACAGTAAACTTGACATTATTCTTTCTTCTGGCTGCCGTTATCAGTCTCACACGATTGTTTTCCTTTTTCTGAAAGTCTTAATAACACCATCATGAAGTTTTTCTTTCATTATTCCAGCAAATACGATTGTAAAAAAACTCTCCTATTCACTGTGCTTTAAACTTACCAAACTATGACGACTTCTGCTTCTGAGAAACACGGAAATGTTAAAAGGCTCCATTGACTTGAATGTGTGTGTGTGTGTGTGTGTGTGTGTTGTAGGTATGGGAAGCTCTGGTCACTCTCTGCTATTTCCCCGTCTGTGTGATTCTGGCGTGGATTGCTGACCGGCGCCTGCTTTTCTACAAGTACATGTCCAAGCGCTACCGTGCCGACAAAAGGACAGGGGTTGTCGTGGAGACGGAGGGGGAAATGACCCCGAAAGGGATGGAGATGATGATGGACGGCAAGTTTCCACTGAGAGCCGGAGACATTGGAATCGGCACACAGGAACATTACCAGGATGGGACCGGCCACACAACCGGCACCATGGCAACGCTGCCCAACTCCAACAGCACCACCGTTTACATGGACGGTGTCAAAGACCTGGACGAGAGCCGCAAAGAAGTGAGGAAAAAACACATGGCTTTTAAACATAAACATTTAAACACTACCTGACTCAAGTCTTGTCACCTATCCAAAATTTAGGAACAACAAACCATTACTTGACTTCTAGGTGATCATTTGGTATCAGAAGTGGCTAATATGAAAGGCAAAGGCCTCTAGATTACACTTATTTTACCAAAATAAACTATGATCATGCCTTGAATTTTAATGATTTAATTAGGACAGTAAGGTCTGACTTTGCTTAGACAAAAGTATTGTCACTTAACAGAAACAATGTCCAGTATAGAATATAAAGTCATGCTGCAGTGGAGACAGAATGAATATTGTGTATGACACCCATGAGCTGGGAGGACTGCATCCATACATCTCTGCAAATAACTTCTCAATAAAGTCATCTGGAACGCCAAAGAAAGTGTTCTTGCAGGACTCCCAGAGTTCATCAAGAATCTATGGATTCATCTTTAATGCCTTCTCCTTCATCTCACCTCAGACATGCTCAATAATGTTCATTTCTGGCGACTGGGCTGGCCAATCCTGGAGCACCTTGACCTTTTTTTGCTTTCAGGAACTTTGATGTGGAGGCTGTATGAGAAGTAAGAGGAGTGCTATCCTGCTGAAGAATTTGCCCTCTCCTGTGGTTTGTAATGTAATGGGCAGCACAAATGTCTTGATACCTCAGGTTGTTGATGTTGCCATCCACTCTGCAGATCTCTCGCACATAACTCCAAACCATGATTTATACTTCACCAAACTTGACTGATTTCTGTGAGAATCCATGCAGGTTCTAGTAGGTCTCCTGCAGTATTTGTGATGATTGGGATGCAGTTCAGCAGACGATTCATCGGAAAAATCGACCTTCTGCCACTTTTGCAAATGATCAACTAGAAGTTATTAACGCAAGTTATTATTTGTTGCTTTTACGACTGAGATCCACGACAAGACTTTTGTCAGGTAGTGTACAATAGCAGTAACAGATAGATTAAGAAGCTCACCCTCTTAACACTGTACTAAAAAGTTTAATGCCTCTAAAGCAGTGGTACCCAAGCTGAGGGGGTCGGGACTTTGTCATTTTTCCCAAAAAAATGTATAGATTTTATTAAACTATTAGAAGTTACATACTTTATCCATAACATACAAAAGATAAAAAAACTACATCAACTTCCGGGGCTTTTTTTCCCATTGGTTTGCAACCACTTGATGGTGATTACCTTAAACCAGTGGTTCTCAAACTGTGGTACGCAGGCTTACTTCTAGTGATACGGAGAGGAATCACTGAGTAATGAGTTTGATTCGTGCAATAACACAAACAACGCATAAAATGTTGGCGTCATCAGCTGCTTAAAATATATTTAATTGGCGCAGAACTAGAGAAAGAAGTGCGTGGTGCTTGCAGAGCAGATACTTGCTAGAGCAGTAGTCTCAAACCCTCGGGCCACAGACTGGCACTCGTCTATAAATCAATTGGCACCGGGTCGCACAAAAAATCATTAATTATTTCTGTTTTATTTATAATCTGAGTCTGAACTGAACGATCATTTATTTATTTTGAAAATTGACCATATTCTCGTTACATCTCGGTCACTCGAGTGCCAAAATTTAACCCACAGGCTAGCAAAATGAGTACTGCAGCACGACGCACTTGTGTATTCCAGGTAGAGGTCTGCATTCCCACGGCTGTCCCGCGGGCGCCGCGGGACCCGACCAGATTTCTACGGCGCGGATGTAAATTTCCGAATAAATCATGGGAGCGGTCGGTAACGGGTTTAATTTGGGACGGGAGCAGGCTGTCTAGCAATATCGCTCCCGACTCCCGAGTGAGCACGCGTATGTAGGTGTGTAAATTAAATATTAGTTAAATGTTTAGCTTGTTTGTTGCAGTGTGTGTGTGTATGTATGCGCATGCGCGAATGAGAGATGTGAGTGTGTGTGTGTGTGTGTGTGTGTGTGTGTGTGTGTGCGCGTGCGCGCGAATGAGAGATAGAGAGCTTTGCCTCATTGCCTGTGTTTGTGCTTGGTGCTAATGAGTGTGTGTGTTAGAGGGCGCGCGCGCGAATGAGAGAGAAAGCTTTGTCTGTGTGTGTGTGCTTAGTGCTGTGCGTGTGTGTGTTTATACAGACAGCTTGTTATAGGCTGTCTGGACTGTATAACTGGGTGATTTTTCGGTTTTGTTCTCCCCCCGCTCTTTAGCGGGATCGGGCGTGGTGGATAGAAAACGGGGCAGGTCGGGCAGCGGGACATCAAGTGCTTAATATAAGCGGGAGCGGTCGGGTTCCGGCTAAAACCTGGCGGGTGCGGGCGGGAGCGGGATTCAAAATTTAGTCCCGCGCAGATCTCTAATTCCAGGTGTCCCTAGTTGAAAACATCCTAACTTTTCAGAATGCCGCACTGCGAGTCACGTGACAATAACCGACTGATCGGCTTCATATTTTGTATGGAATATAATTTCCTTAAATGAATATGACTCTGCCTCATTTTTGATCTGTGCAGTGCTGTAGCTGCTTAATTTGGCCAACTACGCTACTTTGTTTTAATACCGATGATTATGGTGGTACTTGGAAAGACAATTTTTTTCTGAGGTGGCACATGGTGAAAGAAGTTTGAGAACCACTACCTTAGACTGTTGATACAGCCATAGCGTTCAGTTGCAGCAGATCGATTTATGGCACCATTGCTGCATTTTGTGAAGGATGCATTCGAAGGGCACTGTCTCGTTTCAAAAAAATTCAAGGCTCCTTCACTCTCAGAAATAAAGCTACGCAAGCTGTCACTGGGTGGTACCTTTTTAAAAGGTATACGTTTGTACCTGAAGGGTCCATATTGGTACCTCAAAAGTATACAAACGCTAAGCGTATAAACAAATCGTGCTTATATAGGCCTTTTGGCATTCGCGCATCGTTGCACACAACGTTTGTATATTTACAACCATCTCCGATGATAGTGCGGTCGCAAGTCACTGGTATTGTTATTTTGGGGGTCATGTACTAAAATGTTTGGGAGCCCCTGCTCTAAATCAAGGATATGCCAACTTAGTGTTAATTTTTTATATACAGTGGCACACTGTACAGTTCAATATGAAGTACTATACGAAGTAAAACATAAAAGCAATGTCAATGAAAGAACAAATTTACCAATGTATTGAAAGGACAGAGGACACAAATATCATTTTAGACAAACCTTTAACAGTTTGTGATGATCTATCGTTCAGAGCGAGATTGTTCCAAGGACTTATGCCAGCAATAGGAAACTCCGTTTTGGGAATTGTTAAGATAACCTTGATCAAAGATCTTAACTCGCACTTGGACTGTAGGGCTTAATAAGCTCAGCTAACTATGCTGGTGCCATTTCATGCAGTGCTTAAAAAACACGTAACATTGATGTTACATAATAGAATATATGTTATTCTCAGAGTACTTCTGTCCTGGAGAGTTTAGCTCTAACCTTGAAACACACAAACCAGTGACTAAATGTTTGGTCACACTTGAAAACATTGAGTCTGATTTTGAGCCAGGTTTGCACCCCGCTAAACGGATGACTTGTGGAAAGATTCAAGGCTTGTGTCCCAAAGATCCTTAGTTCTTTGGTGTCATTTTCCTGCTCTCAATTGCGTTGGAGACTGTCCAATCTCAGATCTAAAATATCAAACATGTTTGATATTTTCTGACTTTTGATCGGGCTGCCTGTGACAGTACCCCCACAATAGCCAATGAGAACAAGCTAACTTCACCAACCATATATATCACGTTCTTTTATAGCACAGCAGCTGAAAGCATGTCACAGAAAAGTCATGTTGTATGTCCCAGGCCTTCCAGGCAAAGGAGATTTGGACATCGGCCCTCCAGGAGGGTAATTGGACAGCTCTGTCCTAAAGGTACATGGTGATGGGAAGAAATCAGGTGAAACTTTGAGTATAGACAGGCCGAAAAGTTGCATGGGTTAACACAAAGCTCCTGAGGATCCCAAAGTTTGTTGGCAAATACGATACTATTTAAATACATTTTATTACCATATGGTTTTTGTGCAGAGGTGTCTAACTCAGTTCCTGGAGGGCCGAGCCCTGCACAGTTTAGTTTAGTTAAACTGTGTAAAGCTGCGAAGCTGAGTTTGACACCTGTGCTTTAGTGGGTCAAACTCGTGTCGCTCCAAATCCACATGACACCCATTCCTCTTTGTTTCAGGGATGATATTATGCAGAATTTACTAGCTGCTGTTTCCAAAACAGTGAGAATTACCAGAAAAACCCCAATAAATTCCATATTCTTTAAGTAGCTACAGTAGTCAACATTTGGGTAACAAAAAAGGTTTGACAGGTGGAGTGTTGTCCTAAGACAAGAATGGGTGTTGATCAATAGTTTTAGGACAACTTTGATGAAATGTTTTGATCCACTTCAAATGTCCATTGCTGTAGTGCAATGTCCAAGTAGGGCTGACAATATGGCTGAAAACATTAGCGAAATTCGAATTGTATTCAAATTATAAAGGCAATAATTAATGTTAAAGGAAAAAGTATGGTATTGTCTGCGATACCCAAAAGAGGGTTCATATATATATATATATTGAATATTTGAATATATATATTGAATATATATATATATTGGCTAATATTCAAAATTCCAAATCATCTACAGCATACTGATTGATTAATTTATATAAATCCATTTTGGTGTTATTGACTTGAGTATAACAGAATACTTCAGTAGTTTTTAAAACCTTGACTTTTTCAAACCGTGGTAAACCGGTCATCATCCCATGCCTACAACAGACACTTTTTTTTTTTTTTCTTTCCTTGACCTTTAAATGTTTCCACCCAGGTGATCCGTATCCTGAAGGACTTAAAGCAGAAATATCCAGACAAGGAGTTGGATCAGCTGGTGGAGTTGGCCAACTACTACGCGCTCCTCCATCAGCAGAAAAGCCGCGCCTTTTACCGCGTCCAGGCCACGCGCATGATGATCGGGGCTGGGAATGTGCTGAAGAAACACGCAGCCGATCAATCTCGCCGTGCCGTGGTGGTAGGTGGAGACGAGGCGTTGGAGGAAGAAGACCTGGCTGTCTGCAGCCGCATTTCCTTCGAGAGCCCACACAGCCAGTGCATGGAGAACTGCGGATCCATCATGATACCTGTGGTTTGCCGTGGAGGTTTGGGGGAGAGTACTTTTTACGTCGACTACTGTACTGAAGACGGCACAGCCAACGCTGGCTCAGATTACGAGTATTGTGAAGGGACGCTGGTGTTCAAACCAGGAGAAACCAGGAAAGATATTAAGGTGAGGAGGAGCAGTGGTGGAGTTTTACAGAAACCTAGGGAAACGCATTATTCCCTCTATCAATGGGGGCTGACCTTTGGTTACAAATGCATTTCGGGGCACAGTCAATGGGGTATAGACCTTTTTCTTGGAACGCAAAATTACCAATTATGCTTTGCGTGTATGCGCAAGTAAAAATGCGAAGAACTTCCAGTCGGCAGCTGATGCGTGTAAACAGTCACATTTGGACAGCTTTGAAACGATAGTTTTAATCTATTTTACCTGCTTTTATCCTCTTTAAACTATTACTGTTGTCCATCAGCACCATCTCCTGGACTGATCATTTAAAGAAATGCGATCTAACAGGATGGAAAACAGCTGCTGTGAGGCGTTTTCCCCTCGTTGTCAGACGGCATCTTCTGCCGTTTAAATGAAGCCTTGTCATCGCTAAAGTCAACATTTTCTCTTTATTTCAAATATATAACCAGCCCAAACAAATGTAGTTCACCAAAATGTTGGACACACACACGAAGATATAGGCTAGTGTCATTTTAATATGACAGAAAAACACAAACCGTGGTAAAAACAACACGTGAAATAAAACACAAACGGCTCGCGATTAGAATGAACAGCAAATCAGCCAGCAGAGGATCAATAACAGACTTTTATTGGTCATTTTTGTAAATTGCACGACTTCCATACCTGTTAAGTTTAATGCTAGTACTCTGGTTTTTTCTCTCTCTCTCTTTCTCTGCGCTGAGCTAACAGCTGACAGGCCGGGAACGCACACACACACTATTTCTGTCGGCAAACACGTGAACTACAGTAGAAGAACGTTTTTCTCGTATTTCTGACGCGCTTGAACCACATGTGACAGATTATAACGGCTTTAACAGACACATTTCTAAGTTGTGTGTCACAAAAACGCTCTGTTATCCATTTAAAACGTTATTGAAACCCATTTTCGGAGCGCAAATTACCAGTTGTATACGCTGTAAACGGAAGTTTTTCGCATTCTACCGGAAGACGCTGGTCGCTATGGCGCCCTCCATGCAGCAGCCATGAAAAAGGTCTATATGCACAGCTACTGTTTTTTAGCCACTGATAAACTTACGGTGAAAGGTAATTGTGACTACTTTCAATTATTACATTTTTTCATAATTACTTTTTGGGGGTTTCAATTGATAGAACAGTAGAGAGTATAGACAGGAAAGCGTGGGGAGCAGAGTGAGGGGAAGGATTGGCATAGGACCTCAAGGTCATGTCCCATGGCAACATTGATCCATGACACTCCGGTGTTCACGGTGTACCGTGTTTGATTCCCGCCTCGACGTCCTATGCCGATCCTACTTTCAAGTTTATGAGGTGCCTTTTATAGCATCTTTGTTGTAATGTAATTAAAATATAATTGATTAATTAGACTTAAGCATTCATTTAGCTGTTCAAGCATAAAACAAGATGAAAGACTGAGTAAACGCTAGTGCTGTTAGCAGCAGCAGGCTAGCGCAGAAACTCCATTGAACATGCTTCATAAAAATACATTTTCATTTATTAAAAATATGGTGAGGAAAATGTAAATTAATACAGTGTTTTTTGTCCGGTCTGAGACTATGGGCAATGAAGATCATGGATTTTTTGAGAAATTAGATCTTGAACATGGCGATTTTTTGATGGCAAGACAGTTCACTGGGACGCACTAGGGCTGACTGACTGATTGTTAAGAGTCTGTGTGCATAGACTCATACGCATTTTGTTTGGAAATGAAAATCAGGTTGACGTCAGAACTCGTTTTGTCAGTTTAGTGGCTAATTCAGTCGTTCAGAGTTTAGTCGTACGACAATGTACGATTTTTAAAAGGAGGCGTGGCACCTAACCTCGCCCCTAAACCCCAACCGTCATTGTGTGATAAGCAAATCATAATAAATTGTACAAATTAGATTGTACGAATTCATACGAATTAGCCACTAAATCAAAAAGTTACGAATTGCACGAATTGTTACGAACATCCAACTTAAAACCAACCAAATATCAATGTCTAATGATGTTACAGCTTAACATTATGTGGACGTTATCTCTATGACGTCTATCAGATATTAGATTTTGGTTGCCATACCTGATGAATAAATGTCAGTTTTTGACGTCAATATGACGTTGGTTTAAGATGTTGGCTCGACGTTGGATTTTGGTCACTTTCTAACGAGCTAAAATCGACTAAATATCAACGTCATTTGACTTCATTATTGGACATCAAAACAATGCTGTCCTTAGACGCTGGCTAGATATTGAATTTTGGTCACAACCTAAATCTAACTTAATATTAACATTTCATGATGTTGTGTGCCTGCTAGGCAATAACTAAATGTGACAGAATGTTACGTTTACACACACACACGCACAAATGACATGTAAATCCATCAGCTTTTTATGCTACAGTGTAATACTCACTACTCACTACTCTTGAGTACTTTTAAAAGGTCTACTTTTACTCATACTTTGAGTAATACTTACAGCAGATACTTTTACTCTACTTGCACTACATTTTTAGGCAAGTAATGGTACTTTTACTTGAGTATGATTTTTCAGTCCTCTTTCCATCACTATGTATAAAGTTGTGTAAGATGTACTTTTCAGGTGAAAAAAGTGGTCAGGTATGTGACAGCACTGCGTGATATCATTACACCTGCTGCAGCAATGTTATGGCAGCAAAGATCCATGACTATTAGACCGGAATAGTTCCTAGATACGTCTGCCTAGAAAATAACAACTTTTCATTTTCCGTCAGTCTTAGTACACAATGTAACTACAGAAGAGTCCAGCTTTAAATAGGAAAATTATGAAAACTCTTTTTCTATTTTTTTTTTTGAGTTAGATGCTAATGGTCAAATCTGATTCAATGATTTATGCTAAGCTAACTAAACTTTATTGCTGGCAGCTAGCTCTCTGAAACTTAAGTCCACTTAAGCTAAGCAGGGCTGTGCCTGGTCAGTACCTGGATGGGAGACCACATGGGAAAGCTGGGTTGCTGTGGGAAGTGGTGTTAGTGAGACCAGTAGGGGGTGCTCAACCTGTGGTCAGTGTAGGACCTAACACCCCAGTATATGGATAGGGACTCATCTTTCAAATGTTACAGGATGTCCTCTGCAAAAGAGTAGGGGTCTAACCCCAGCATCATGGGCAAATTTACCCACTGGCCTCTGTTCATCATGACCTTCCAACCCTCCCCATATCAGCTTCATCACTGTGTCTCCTCTCCACTAATTAGTGGTGTGCAGTGTAGAGATTATTTACAGTTTTAACCCAAAGAATGACCAGTCTGTCAGATGAAGAAGAGCCGGAGTCAGACATTCAAATGAGTGAAGTTTCATAAACTAATTTCGAGAGGAGCACGTGATAGTTTATTGTGCACCACTGGCCACTCATCCGTAATCAGTAATAATCCAATCAGAATGATCCTAGCCTAATATAAAGGGATCACTTTCTGCTTATTGCTCTATCTTCTTTTTGGAAGAATCCCCCCTTCCACCCCATCTCCTCCTTTTTCTCCCCTTCTAAAGGGGGAGCGAGACCTACCTGATCTCGGTTCTCCTGATATGCTTCTAGACCGGGCGGGAGCCCTGGGCTCAAATATCTCCGAGCTCAGGGTTCTCTCCCAGGACAGGATGCCAAACCTGCTATAAATGCCAAGCATATCTAAGTGGGAACTCTTGAAATACATTTCAAGAGTTCACACTTAGATATTGCTTGATGCTATTAGCAGGTTTGGCATGCTGTCCCGGGAGAGAACCCTGAGCTTGGAGATATTTGAGCCCAGGGCTCCCGCCTGGTCCATAGAGAGTATGAGATCAGGTGGTTCTCAAGAGCTCCCCGTGGTAAAGGAGGAAAGGGGGAGAAGGGGTGGATGGGGGTTTCTTCGAAAAAATAAGATAAGGGAGTAATTTTTGCTAGGCTACTTATAGTGAGTTTGGATTAATCTGATTGGCTAAGTAATGATTGTAGATGAGACACCAGCTGCAGTCAATTATATCATGCGCACCTCTCGAAAATAGTTTGTGAAACTTCACAAAGTTTACTGAAGATAGTTTGCAGTTTCATCAGCAGAAGCCAGCTTCAACACTCACAATAAGTTCCTGGGCCGCTCTGCTTTCAATCACAAATCAAAACAATTATACTCTCACATAACGTCACTAACTGCGTCACACATATACGTGTTCTAACCTGATTGGTTAAAACACAGATAGACTAGAAAAATTGCCATGTAGGTGCGTGCGTACAATTCTGAACAATATTTTAAACATATAAGCATCAGACATCCACTAGACTGTTTAGAGCTGACTCCAGACCTGTAGAACTGATCTACAATCAAATAGAACACACACACACTTAAAGTACAATCTGTACTCTTAGCCGTCTTTATCAAAACTGGTTAAAAACCGGTATATTCTACATTCAGGCAGTTATATCCTTACTACACAAAGTCTATCTTGAATAAAAAGTAGAATCACTTTAAAACGCTTAACCATAAGTACAGCAAAATCCCTTTTAGATAGTATTTACTCATAGAAATAACAATAGAAACAGTTGCTTCCAGTCCTCAGCTCTTCAATTCTACTTAAGGTCTTCGTGACCTCTGACCTAGTTTGGTGGCTCCTGAAAATAGTTACAAAGAGACAGGCAAATGCACTGAACATTCTTATATCAAGCAATGTGTTAACTTTATTCATTATTCAATATTCATCCTTGGTAAAAAAAATAATGAGACATAGGATGATGAGAAAAGGATAAACGTTGATCCATGCTGAGATGGATTGGTAGGTATAAATCCGAATCCTTCAGTGGTCTGGCACAATTTGGCTGCTGTTGCATCATCCAGGTGGATGCTGCAGACTGGTGGTGGAAGAGGAAATTCCCCCTCGAAAATGTATAAAGCACTTTCAGTGTCCAGAAAGCGCTATATAAATGTAAGAAATTATTATTATTATTAAACTAAAAGTGCTCCTGGATTCCAAAATTGTAAAACTGCTGAAATCTAGGGAGTCGTAAAATGATCATTTTTAAAAAATGGTGTGTTCCTTTGACCTAAACGGCTTCTAAAGAAAAAAGACTTTATCTTTGATGTAGTGAGCTTTCTTTTTGACAAACATCCACTTCACAGAGACAGACAGGGCCATGTTTCCATGGCAACAGTGCTTTAATGTCTGTCACTGGGTGAGTGACAATGACTGACAGTCTTTAACTAAAACCACTGAGAGAGGATTCAGACTGATGGACACATCCGTCAGGAAAGTCAGAGCCTTACAAATCCATGTGAGATGACTGTTAAGTCACTGATGTACTTGTCCGAGATCTATCTGACCATGTTCTGAAGGTGTACTGTAAAGCCGGATCACTGAGTGTTTATCTGCTTCTCTAGGTTGGCATCATTGATGATGATATCTTTGAGGAAGATGAGCATTTCTTTGTGCGTTTGCTGAACCTGCGTATTGGTGATGCCGAGGGCATGTTTGAGAGTGATGACATGGATCAGGGTCCCAAGGCCCGACTGGTGGAACCGCTGATGGCCACAGTCACCATCCTGGACGACGACCACGCAGGGATCTTCACCTTTACAGACCGCATGATGCGGGTAAGCGAGTGCGTGGGCACCATGGAGGTGACAGTGGTCCGAAACTCTGGCGCCCGCGGAACCGTGATCATTCCGTACCACACAGAGCCCGGGACAGCCCAAGGTGGAGGAGTCGACTATGAGGACACACACGGAGAGCTGGAATTCACCAATGACCAGACAACGTGAGTCGGCTTGTATGAAAAACACAAAATAAAAGAAATCTGATTTATGTGTTTGTTTGGCTGTACAAAACTCTCTTCCACAGTGCAAGGGTGTTCTGGTCGGGTGCCAGGGTATTTCTATGCTGTTGTCTATGTGCACTGGGTAGTTACACTAGAGTTTTTTGGCAGAGAACTCTTAGGGATGAGTGTGAGTGTGTGGAAAACACAAAATACAGAAATGTGTGCTTTTGTTTGCTGTACGAAGCACCTCATCAGTACTAGGGTGTTCTGGTTGGGTGCCAGGGTATTGCTATGTAGTTTTTTGGGTGCACTGGATAGTTACACTAGAGTTTTTAGGCAGAGAGTTGTTAGGGAGTTATTGTCAGAGTTGTTATGCTGCGTTCACACCAGACGCGGAACGCGTGTCAAGCGCGAGTGATTTACATGTTAAGTCAATGCAAACGCGAGAATAGACATCCTGCGATGCGATACGCGCAAATGAGGCGGCACGAAGGATGTAGCGCGAATTGCGCGTATGGCGTGATGCGAATAGCAGGATACGCGCGAATGACGCAGGGCGAATTGAGCGTTTTGCGCGTTTTACGCGAACCCTTGAGTTCGAAAATCTGAACTTCAGCGGACATTCGCGCCACGTCAACCAATCAGAAGCTTGCTCTTGTGGGGGCTTGATTGTGACGTAGAACCTGTTGATGGTGTCCCCAGGGAAATCCTCCAGGCAACACCGACAACAAGTCATCAAACTGGGCTTTGCTCAGTCAGAAGCAACGTTGAAAGCCTCCGTGATCCAGGTTAAGTTTCTGGAGGAGTTCATGAGCTCACAGAGCTGGATGCACCTCTGAAAGCATGTAGTGTACTCAGACACGGTCCTAAACGCATTGACACAGTTTTTCAGCCTTCATAGAGCACATAAACACTGTTATTTTCTTCATAAAATCCATGTTAGCCATTTAGCAACGAAGCTAGTGTCACCGGGCTGACAGAAGCCCGGCCCATCAGGCGAATCCGCGTCTGTTCTGAAGTGAATTTGACACGCGAATGAAGCGGATTTCACGTGTGAATGAAGCGGGGTTTGACGCATGAATGAAGCGAGTAAACTCAAATGTTCACGCGGCTATTTACGCGCGAATATCGCGATTTATCCGCGGGTTCCAGGTCTGGTGTGAACACAGCATTAGGAAGTCATTATTAGAGACTCAGGCAATTTCCAGTTATAAGCAGGTATTTTTATTTTTATTAATATAGTTTTCCCTGTTTTCGTTTAGAAAAAAAATCTGCCCACAAGAAAATGGAAAAAAGCACTGCAATGCATGTTAATGGCATGTCGAACCAACAGGTGGTGATATAAGCCTTTAAACAGGTGGCAATAAAAGCCAGGGTATTCTGAGGATTACTGGGGGTTACTGGAGAGTTGCTACAAAGTTCTGGGTAGGAGTAGAGAGCTGGTAGTACACTATGGCTTGTTGCCAGGGTGTTCTTCTGAGAGGTTACTAAGGGATTCTGATTGGTTACTAGATAGTTGCTAGGAAGTTCTGGGTAGAACTAGTTAGTTGTTAGTGCATGGGTTGTTTTCAGCATGTTCTGAGAGGTTAGTATGGGGTTCTGATTGGTTAGTAGAGAGTTGCTTGGAGGTTGCGGGTAGGACTAGTTAGTTGTTAGTGCATGGGTTCTTGTCAGGGTGTTCTGAGAAGTTACTAGGAAGTTCTGATTGGTTACTAGAGAGTTGCTGGGACGTTCTGGGTAGGAGTAGTTAGGTGCATGGGTTGTTGCCAGTGTGTTCTGAGAGGTTACTAAGGGGTTCTGATTGGTTTCTAGAGAGCTGCTTGGAAGTTTTCGGACTGAGTAAAGAGTTGTTAGTGTAGTATGGGTTGTTGCCAGGGTGTTCTGAAAGGTTACAAAGGGATTCTGGTTGGTCACTAGAGAGTTGCTAGGAGGTTCTGGGTAGGACTAGTAAGTTGTTAGTGCATGGGTTGTTGTCAGGATGTTCTGAGAGGTTACTGTGGGGGTTCTGATTGATTACTAGAGTTGCTATGTAGTTCTGGGACTGAGTAGAGAGTTGTTAGTGTAGTATGGGTTGTTGCCAGGGTGTTCTGAAAGGTTACAAAGGGATCCTGGTGGGTCACTAGAGAGTTGCTAGGAGGTTCTGGGTAGGACTAGTTAGTTGTTAGTGCATGGGCTGTTGTCAGGCTGTTCTGAGAGCTTACTAGGAGGTTCTGATTGGTTACTAGAGTTGCTATGAAGTTCTGGGACTGAGTAGAGAGTTGTTAGTGCACTATGGGTTGTTGCCAGGGTGTTCTAAGAGGTTAGTAGAGGTTTCTGATTGGTTACTAGAGAGTTGCTAAGAAGTTTTGGGTAGGGGTGGAAAGTTGGCTGTGCATTGTGGGTTGTTGCCCAGGGTGTTCTGAGAGGTTACTAGGGGGTTATGATTCCTTACTAAAGAGTTGCTTGGAAGTTCTGGGTAGGAGTAGAGAGTTGGTCATGCACTATGGGTGGTTGCTAGGGTGTTTTAAAATGTTACTAGGAGTTTTGATTGGTTACTTGAGAGTTGCTAGGAAGTTCTGGGTAAGAATAGTTAGGTGTTAGTGCATGGGTTGTTGCCAGGGTGTTCTGAGAGGTTAATAGGGTGTTCTGATTGGTTACTAGAGAGTTAGTAGGAGGTTCTAGGTAGGACTAGTTAGTTGTCAGTCCATGGATTGTTGTCAGAGTGTTCTGAGAGTTTACTAGGAGATTCTGATTGGTTAGTAGAGAGTTGCTAGGAATTTCTGGGTAGGAGTAGAGTTGTTAGAGTTGCACTGTGGGTTCTTGCCAAAGTGTTCTAAGAGGTCAATATTGGATTCTGATTGGTTACTAGAACGTTGCTAGCAAGTTCTGGGTAGGAGAGTTAAGTGTTAGTGCATGGACTTTTGCCAAGGTGTTCTGAGAGGTTAATAAGGGATTCTGATTGGTTACTAGAGAGTTGCTAGGACGTTCTGGATAGGAATAGAGAGTTGTTAGTGCACTATGGTTAGTTGCCAGGGTATTCTGAAATGGTTACTTGGGGATTCTGATTGGTAACTAGAGAGTTGCTAAGTTATTATTATAGATTTTCTTGGTGGTTGCAAGGATGTTCTGGGTCATTGTTTAGATGTCCTCTAATTGCTAGTCTAGGGGGGTCTTGGTTGTCACTAGAGTGTTCTGAGTGGTTACTGGAGAGTTGCTAGGGCATTATGTGTTGTGGAGGCTGACAGTGGTGTATCAGATCACTCAGTAAAGAAACAGCTCTCCTCAACAGGACACGACTGAAGCTATTATCCATGTTAAATAGGGCTTGTTCAAATCCCTTGAGAGCGAGCTGTAGTGATAGTGATACTCATGTGCTTAGTGTGCTTGAGTCGGTATAGATCAGTTAGCAGATGCCGTGCTTCCGCCAGTCTGGAGTCTTTTCTGTCGATCCCGGATGAACGTGACAGTGTCCTACATTATGGATGAGCACTAAACATTACGATTTCCCTCTGTGTGTGTGTGTATGTGTATGTGTATGTGTATGTGTGTGTGTGTGTGTGTGTGTGTGTGTGTGTGTGTGTGTGTGTGTGTGTGTCAGTGATGGAAGTGAATCCACTTTATATTTTGAATGTTTTGATTGTGAGTGGGAGTGAATGTGTGTGTGTGTGTGTGTGTGTGAATCAAATTAAATATTGACACGCAGCCTTTTGTGGTGATTTAAATGCTGACATTTCCCATGATTTGTGTGCACATGTTGTGTGTGTGTGTGTCATTCATCAGCTCTTTTAATGTGATTTCATGTCAGGGTGGAGCGCCGCTGTTCATGACCCCAGAGGAACTGCATTAAGTATTTATGAGGTTGTGTGTGTGTGTGTGTGTGTGTGTGTGTTTGTGTGTCATTATGCTGTTCCTGGCATTTTCTATTTAGTCGCAATCTTCTGTCACTTGTTTCAGTAATCGATGCAAGACTTCAAAGCCGCGACTTGAATGTCTGATCACTTGTGTTTGTTTGTCTCTGTGTGTGTCTCTGTGTATGTGTGTATGTCTGTGTGTGTGTGTGCAGTCAAACTCTTCAGGTGAGGATCATTGATGATGAGGAGTACGAGAAGCATGAGAATTTCTTCATCGTTCTGGAGGAGCCGCGGTGGCTGAAGAGGGGGATCTCAGGTGTGTGTGTGTATGTGTGTGTGTGTTGCTCTGAGAGGTCAGGAGATTGTATCTGTTAGCTTTTAAAGTGGTTTTGGGGATTAATTTGACATTCAGGTTCAAGTGGTTTCCGATACAGCTGGCTCAGCTCCCAGCCCTAATGAGCTCCCTATATAGACAGCGTTATTAGGCGGTGCTTAAAACTGAAGAATGTTGCTGCTTTATAACTATATAGAAAACATGTTTTTGATCAAAAGTTAGGGCATATATACAGTTGTAGTCAGAATTATTAGCCCCCCTGAATTATTAGCCCCCATGTTTATTTATTTCTCAATTTCTATTTAACAGAGAGCAGATTTTTACAACACATTTCTAAACATAATAGTTTTAATAACTCATTTCTAATAACTGATTTATTTTATCTTTGCCATGATGACAGTAAATAATATTACACTAAGTAAAAGACACTTCTATACAGCTTAAAGTGGCATTTAAAGGCTTAACTAGGTTAATTAGGTTAACTAGGCAAGTTAAGGTAATTAGGCAAGTTATTGTATATCGATGGGTTGTTCTGTAGACTATCGAAAAAATATATAGCTTAAAGGGGATAATAATTTTGACCCTAAAATTCGTTTTAAAAAATTAAAAACTGCATTTATTTTAGCCGAAATAAAACCAATTAGGCATTCTCCAGAAGAACAAATATTATCAGACATACTGTGAAAATTTCCTTGCTCTATTGAACATCATTTGGGAAATATTTAAAAAAGAAAAAAAAATTAAAAGGGGGGCAAATAATTTTGACTTCCACTGTACATACGTGTGTGTGTGTGTGTGTGTGTGTGTGTGTGTGTGTGTGTGTGTGTGTGTGTGTGTGTGTGTGTGTGAGAGAGAGTGTGTGTGTGTGTGTGTGTGTGTGTGTGTGTGTGTGTGTGTGTGTGTGTGTGTGTGTGTGTGTGTGTGTGTGTGTGTGTGTGTGTGTGTGTGTGTGTTGAACAGAGATTGTGTTTTATATAGCTAAAAAGCAGCAGGATCACTTTTTACTTTCACTTTCACTTTCAACAGCTTTACTAAAGACTTTACTAGGTTAATTAGGTTAACTAGACAGGTTATGTAATTAGGCAAGTTATTGTATAATGATGGTATATATATATATATATATATATATATATATTTTTTTTTTTTTTTTTTTTTTTTTTAGTGATCTGTTTTAATGTCAAATGAAGACTTAAATGAAAGATATTAAAGACATTTTGAGAGTGATGTTTTGAGACAGCAGATGTTCAGCTGCTCGAGGCTGTTTCTGAGCGGGTGATCAAGAGCTCAGACTGACCCTGAAACAGCTCATCTGCTGGACTCGCCATCATCTGTTTGTCTGAACATCACGTCTGAGGACCCTTAACAGTCAGCATGCGCTTTTACTGCTCAGAGAGAAAGCTCACTAGGGTTTGGAATAAAGCCATGGCAGTGCTGAAAATAGGCAGATGCCCTAATAGAACCATTACTCCAGTAGAAGTATAAAGTCCTCTTTTTCAATATTACTTTAATAGATGTACAAAATACTTAATTTTTTATTTACTTTTATTTTATTTGATAAATAGACAGATTAAGTATTCACAGATGAGTGTTTATTTTTGCAAGAAAGCCAAAACTCGTCTTACTCTGACAATCACAGAGATAATTCATGGTCATTCAAGTGAAAAAAGCAATGCTGGAAATGCTGAACCCCATCATTGAGTTGTTAAGATCAGTTTGTAAAATCTGTGAATCATGTGCTGAGACTCACTCGAAATAGATCATTTGAATCAGTAAGTTGCTAACTGGTAACTCATGCGAAACAGTTCACTTGAATCAGTGAGTTTTTGTTCTTGTAGACTCACTCTGAACAGACCATTAGAGTCATTGTGTTGTTCGGAATTGAACTAGTGAATTGAATCAGTCAGTTGTTTACTAGGGACTAATTTTGAACGGATCATTTGAATCAGTGAGTTGTTTACCGGAGACTCACTCTGAACGGATCATTTGAATCAGTGAGTTGTTTACTATAGGATCATTCTGAATGGGTGGTTTGAATCACTTAGTTGATTACTTGAGACTCACACGGAATTGCTAATTTGAATCAGTTAGTTGTTCACTGAAGGCTCACTCCGAATGAATAATTTGAATTAGTGAGTTGTTAACTAGAAACTTACTCTGAATGAATTATATAAATAATTTAATTGGTTAATTACTGAAAACTCAATCTAAATGAATCATTTAAATTGATAAGTTGTTTGCTGGAAACTCACTCTGATCAGATCATTTGAATCAGTGAGTTGTTTGCTGGAGACTCACCCTGAACGGATCATTTAAATCAGTTTTTTAGTAGAGAATCATTCTAAATGGATCATTTGAATCAGTGAGTTGTTTACTGAAAACTCACTCTGAATGTATAATTTGAATCAGTGAGTTGTTTACAGGAGACTCACTCTGAAAGGATCATTTGAATCACTAAGCTGTTTACTTGAGACATAAGCTGCGTCCCAAATCGCATACTTATGCACTATTCTACGCCATTTTGTAGTATAAATAGTGTAAGTAGTGCGTTCACACTGAAAACTCTAAAAATAATGAGTGCACTTTAATTACCCGGATGATGCACTCATTCAGCCGCTAAAATGAAGTGTGTAATGATGGACACTTCACGCACTCAACGACCGTAGGTTTGCTTACGTAGCGGAAGGGGCGGAGCTATCGGACGCACATGTTGAATAACTTTATTTAATTTGGATGGTGAAAGCAAAATTCTTTTACGAGAGTGATTATAGCGCCTCCCGATAGTGATTGCGGCAACACTCACGGCAGGTATTATTTGATAATTCGGCCATTTACTTCAATGATTTGGCAACCGTCAAACGTCATCAGGGAAACGGTTTGAATTTCCGCTTAGTAAAAAAAACATTAGTGTGCCATTTGGGACGACAATACATACATATACTATCCTGTTGAGTGTGTAAGTGCATAAGTACATAGTGCATGAGTGCATAGTGTATAGTGTGCCATTTGGGACGCAGCTTTACTCTGAATGGATCATTTGAATCAGTGAGTTGTTTACTGAAGGCTCACTCTGAACTGATCATTTGAATCAGTGAGTTGTTTACTGAAGGCTCCCTCTGAACTGATCATTTGAATCACTAAGCTGTTTACTGGAGACTTACTCTGAACAAATCATTTGAATCAGTGTGTTGTTTCCTGGAGATTCACTCTGAACTGATCATTTAACTCACTGAGTTGTTTACTGAAGGCTCACTCTGAACTGATCATTTGAATCAGTGAGTTGTTTACTGGAGACTTACCCAGAACGGATCATTTTAATTACTGAGCTGTTTACTATAGACTCACTCTGAACAGATCATTTGAATCAGTATGTTATTTACTGGAGACTCACTCTGAATGGATCATTTGAATCAGTATGTTATTTACTGGAGACTCACTCTGAATGGATCATTTGAATCAGTGAGTTGTTTACTGGAGACTCACTCTGAATGGATCATTTCAATCAGTGAGTTGTTTACTGAAGGCTCACTCTGAACTGCTCATTTGAATCATTGACTTGTTTACTGAAGGCTCACTCTGAACCGCTTATTTGAATCAGTGAGTTCTTTACTGAAGGCTCACTCTGATCTGATCATTTGAATTAGTGACTTGTTTACTGGAGATTAATTTTAAACACTTGTAAAATGAAATGAATTCTTCAGAGCAATTTGTGAACTGATTCAAAAGGTCAACTGGTCAAATTCAGCTTGTTCATGAATTAAAAACCACTATTCTAGTCTCCCTTTTTCTTTAATAACTTTTTACTCCTTTAGGAGATGTAGTAAAGTAAACGTTTTATACTCAGATAAAATAAAGATCCCTAAAATATGTACTTGTGTGCAGTAGTGAAGTACAAATACCACCTCTGAGCCACTGTCATGTGTGTTTGTGTGTGTAGATGTGTGTGTGTGCGTGTGTGTGTTTATTAATGGAGTAAACTCATCTCCAGCACTAACTCCATCTCTCTTGTCCTCCTATCATCACGCAGCCCTGCTGCTGAACCAAGGTAAGGTTTCAGATCAGCACACGTCTCACTAACCCTCATCACACACACACACATACACGCACACACAAACACACAACCAGTAGAGACATCAGGAAAGGGGATCAAACGCTGACACCAGATCAGAACAGCACAGAAAACTGGTCCACCGATTCTGACAATGCAGCTCTCACTTTTAGCATTCAATTTTTAGCTTTTTTTTTTAATGCTTTCATATATATTTTATTTAAAGATATATTATATTTACAATTTTGTAAATATAATATATTTTATTGCATTGTATTTTATTTTATTGCATTTTGTTTTACTTTATTGCATTTTATTTTATTCCATTTTATTTTTTTAAGTTATACTGTATATGTGTGTTGTTATATATTTTATATTATGTAATATTTGATTTATTGTTTTCTTTTATGTTTTATATTATTTAATTATTTTTTATTTAATTTCTGTTTTTTATCGTACAATTTCATTACAATATAACAATTTATATTAACAATTATATTAAATTAACAATTTAAGTGATCCTTTCTTTTATTTTCACATTTATTTTATTTAATTATTATTTTGTGAAGTGTGTGCTTTTAAATTTAATATAAAAATTATGTTATCAGGGAGTTTTTTCATTTTCTCTGATATTATGCATTATTTTAGTTTTAATGTTTGTATTTGTCATATATATATATTTATATATATATATATATATATATATATATATTATTTTATAATATGATTTTAAATGTAATTTAATTGTTCTTTTCATTCATTTTCACTTTTGCTGCATTATTTTTTAAAATTCAAAATGTAATTTATGAAGTGCATTTTGTTTTAAATTCATTTTATCTGTCAGTTTTTTTTTCCATTTTAAATTTGTATTTTGTACTATGCAATATTTTATTTTATTTTTCATTAAACTTTTTTATTTTATTATTAATATAAATGTATTGCTATATAAAGCTATTTATGATTATTTAGTTTAATTTTGCATTTCTGTTATTTTTATTCTATGTTTTGTATATATTATCTTATTTTAGTATGTTAAATTTATTCCCTGTATTTTTTCATATTCACATGATTTTATAAATGTTAATTAAATGTTCTTTTCTTTAAATTTCACTTTTTTTTCATCACTTTAACTTCATTTATTTATTCTGTGAAGTGCATAAATAAATGAAGTGCATATATATATATTATTTTTATTATTATTATTATTATTATTGTATTCTTTGTATTATTAATATTATTATTAATTTTTTGTTATATTTATTTTTTGTATATATTATCTTATTTTAGTGTTTTATATATATATATTTATTATTATTTGGTTTTTAATATTATTTGTATTATTATAAATGTTTTTGTTATATTTATTTTGTTTTGTATATATTATCTTATTTCAGTGTTTTATATATATAATTATTAGCATTTTGTATTGTTTGTATTATTATTTGTATTATTATTAATTTTTTGTTATTTTTATTTTCTTTTGTAAATATTATCTTGTTTTATTATTTTATGTTTATTTTCTGTATTTTTTCATATGGTTTCATAAATGTTATTTAAATGTTGCTTTCTTTCATTTACACTTTTATTTCATTATTTTTATGTTATTTATTTGTTCTGTGAACTGCATTTTCATACAAAACTGATTATTTAATTTTATCAGGGAGATTTTACTGTAAGTGAAAACACAGAAAGCATTCCCCAGTCCACGTTTTACAGTGGGCTCAATCCCAGACAAATCTCAGTTTGTCCCACTGAGAAGTGTGTTTTATCACAGCAGTGAATGCTTTATGTGCAGCAGAGGAAGCTCATGCATTCAGAGCTGTTTTTTTTTTTTTGTGTGTGTGTGTGTTTGTGTGCGTGTCGTTGTGTCGTAGTTTGTGTTTTATTGATCGGATGAGCTCTTCTCTTGTGTTTTTTGGTTTTGTCCCGCTGTTTCTCATCCACTCTGTGTTTCTGTGTGTGTGTGTGTGTGTGTGTGTTTTCAGAGGATGCAGAAGGTCAGTTGAGTGCAGAGGAAGAGGAGGCCCGGAGGATTGCAGAAATGGGCAAACCCGTCCTGGGGGAACACAGCCGGCTGGAGGTGGTCATCGAGGAGTCTTACGAGTTCAAGGTATTGCATCTCAAAACACTGACTACTTTATTTTATTTTATTTTATTTTGTTTTATTTTATTTTATTTTATTTTATTTTATTTTATTTTATTTTATTTTATTTTATTTTATTTTTCAATCATTTTCGTTTGGCTTAGTCTCTTTATTAATCTGGGGTTGCCACAGTGAAATGAACCGCCAACTTATCCAGCATTTTTTTTTACTTTAAATTTTTTTACTTTAAATAAAATGTCCGTCACCGAATCCCCAAGTATTTGCTGTGGTTCACAGAACTTACAATAAGACTGTGGAGATCAACACATTTATTTTATTTTATTGCAGTTTTTATTACACTTGTTTTATTTTATTTTATTGCATTTTTTTTATTTTATTGCATTGAATTTAATTTTATTGTATTGCATTTTATTTCATCACATTTATTCTATTGCATTACATTTATTTTACTGCATTGCATTGCACTTTATTCTATTTTAAATAATATTATTGCATTTAATTTTATTGCATTGCACTTATTTTATTTGACAGCATTGCATTTAAATAGTTTTATATTATTATAATTCTATTCAAGGTTTTTTATTATTTAATTTTATTTTCAATGTGTTTTATTTAATTTTGCATTTATTTCATTTTATTTTCAATGTGTTTCATTTAATTTTACATTTATTTCATTTTATTTTCAATGTGTTTTATTTAATTTTACATTTATTTCATTTTATTTTCAATGTGTTTCATTTAATTTTACATTTATTTCATTTTATTTTCAATGTGTTTTATTTCATTTTACATTTATTTCATTTTATTTTCAATGTGTTTTATTTCATTTTACATTTATTTCATTTTATTTTCAATGTGTTTTATTTAATTTTACATTTATTTCATTTTATTTTCAATGTGTTTTGTTTAATTTTACATTTATTTCATTTTATTTTTAATGTGTTTTATTTAATTTTACATTTATTTAATTTTATTTTCAATGTGTTTTATTTCATTTTACATTTATTTCATTTTATTTTTAATGTGTTTTATTTTATTTAAAATTTATTTCATTTAATTTTTAATGTGTTTTATTTAATTTTACATTTATTTCATTTTATTTTCAATGTGTTTTATTTAATTTTACATTTATTTCATTTTATTTTCAATGTGTTTTATTTCATTTTACATTTATTTCATTTTATTTTTAATGTGTTTTATTTCATTTTAAATTTATTTCATTTAATTTTTAATGTGTTTTATTTAATTTTACATTTATTTCATTTTATTTTCAATGTGTTTTATTTAATTTTACATTTATTTCATTTTATTTTCAATGTGTTTCATTTAATTTTACATTTATTTCATTTTATTTTCAATGTGTTTTATTTAATTTTACATTTATTTTATTTTATTTAAAATTAATGTAATTGTATTTTATTTTAAATTTTTTATATAATTTTATCTTAAATGTATATTATTTTGGCGACGTGATGGCGCAGTAGGTAGTGCCGTCGCCTCACAGCAAGAAGGTAGCTGGTTCGAGCCTCGGCTGGGTCAGTTGGTGTTTCTGTGTGAAGTTTACACGTTCTCCCCACATTCGCGTGGGTTTCTTCCGGCAGCTTTTTTATTTTATTTTAGATGTATTTTATTTATTTATTTTTTACTCTACTAAAATAGTGAGTCCACGTTTTAGCATTTTTTATTATTATTTATCATGGTAATCTCCATCTGGTCTTGAGTTATCTGCAGAGACGTGACATGAGGTTGTGTGCAGGAATCATGTGTGCTGATCTGTTCTTCTTCTATAAATAGGTTTCACGTTTTATGACATGAAAAATGCAAATCCTCCAGTGAAACCAGAGCATCAGAATGATTCCCAGTTCTGTATTCCTGCTCATATGATGCTCACGATTCTTCATTACAGTGGAGGACTCTAAATTATGAATGTTGATGAGTGTTTACAAAAATATAATTTGAAGCTCCACTTAATGACTGCCAGGGGTGTAAATATGCCTTATGATGTCCATATCTGCAGAAACTGAAGGCCTGATTAAACTGTGGTCTGAAACTGCACTCAGATCAGTGTGTGATGTGTTTGTCAGATCAGTAGAGTGTGTGAGTTTGAATGTTTATTTTTATCAGATCAGTAAAGTGTGTGTTTGTCAGATCAGTGGTGCTGGATCAGCAGATGTCTGGTTCATTCGTGTTTGTCATTACTGTTATATAGACTAATTCTTTGCTATTTTGCATTTATTGGAGCAATAAAAAATTTATAAGCTTCACATGTGATTATTTTTTAGAGATATAATAATACTAATACTACTACTATTAATAATAATAATAATAATAATATAACAATAATTTATTAAAGGGTTTATGCTTTATTTATTGGATATTTTATTTTTTTGCGGACAGGAGTCACACTGAATATGATCTTATGTGTCTGTTTTAATAAAGAAAGAAAGTAAAAGAAAGAAAGAAAGAAATAAGAAAACTAGAAATTAAATAAATAATAAGAAAGAAAGAAAGAAAGAAAGAAAGAAAGAAGAAAACTAAAAATAAATCATTAAATAAAAAGGGGAAAGAAAGAAAGAAAGAAAGAAAGAAAGAAAGAAAGAAAGAAAGAAAGAAAAATATAACGAAAGAAATAAAAAGTTTAAAAAAAGAAAGAAAGAAAGAAAGAAGAAAACTAGAAAAAAGAAAGAAAGAAATAAAGAAAGAAGAAAACTAAAAATAAATCATTAAATAAAAAGGGGAAAGAAAGAAAGAAAGAAAGAAAGAAAGAAAGAAAGAATGAAAGAAAGAAAGAAAGAAAGAAAGAAAGAACGAAAGAACGAAAGGAATAAAAAGTTTTAAAAAGAAAGAAAAAAGAAAGAAAGAAAGAAAGAAAGAAGAAAACTAGAAAGAAAGAAAGAAAGAAAGAAAGAAAGAAAGAAAGAAAGAAAGAAAGAAAAAGGAAAACTATAAATAAATAAATAAATAAATAGAAAGAAAGAAAAAGTAAAACAGAGAAGGAACAAAGAGAAGGAAATAAATAAATAAATAAATAAATAAATAAATAAATAAATAAATAAATAAATAAATAAATAAATGAAAAGGGGAAAGAAAGAAAGAAAAAAAGGAAAGAAAAAAGAAAATATAAAGGAAAGAAAGAAAATGAAAATATAAAAATGATAAATTCATTGTTCATTTATTTATATTAATTTATTTTATTTTATCTTGTGAATATTTTATTAATATTTTGACTAATTTTATTGTTCATTCAAATAATTCCTTATTCATATATCGTGTCAATATTTGATCAATAATCTAAATAATGTTCCCGCAGTCATCTGAAGAGTGTGTTGAAGCTTTTGTGTGTGTGTGTGTGTGTGTGTGTGTGTGTGTGTGTGTGTGTGTGTGTGTGTGTGTGTGTGTGTCGTGTGTTTCAGAGCACCGTTGATAAGCTGATCAAGAAGACCAACCTGGCGCTGGTGATCGGCACTCACTCCTGGAGAGAGCAGTTTGTGGAGGCCGTGACGGTCAGCGCAGGTCCAGACCCTTCACTTCTCTATTCATACATACATTAGGGCTGCACAATATTAGAAATATTAGACATCGTGATCATTAGTTTTGCTGTGATTTATATTTTGATATGAATTTGATTTCACCAGATAGCTTGAACAGCTTTATTTGGAAACAATTCATTAATTGTGCCTGATTTGGGATTATTCTGGAAGATTATGGGGATTCTTCTGGATTATTATTGGGAAGATGGAGTCAAGGGATGCACGGTGGCCCACAGCAAGAAGCCAAAGACATGCGCTATATGAACTGAATAAGATAAATTGGTCGTAGTGTATGTGTGTGAATGAGTGTGTATGGGTGTTTCCCAGTACTGGTTTGCAGCTGGAAGGGCATCCGCTGTGTAAAACATATGCTGGATACGTTGGCAGTTAGGGCGAAGCAGTAGGTATTGCTGTCACCTCACAGCAATAAGGTCGCTGGGTTGCTGATTCGATCCTCAGCTCAGTTGGCGTTTCTGTGTGAAGTTTGCATGTTCTCCCTGCGTTCGCGTGGGTTTCCTCCGGGTTTCCCCCACAGTCCAAAGACATGCAGTACAGATGAATTGGGTAGGCTAAATTGTCCGTAGTGTATGAGTGTGTGTGTGTGAATGTGTGTGTGGATGTTTCCCAGAGATGGGTTGTGGAAGGGCATCCGTTGTGTAAAAACTTGCTGGATAAGTTGGCGGTTCATTCCGCTGTGGCGGCCGCGGATTAATAAAGGGACTAAGCTGACAAGAAAATGAATGAATGAATGAATATTCCCATTATTTTTATTTTATTAACATCTACCCCAACCCTAAACCCAACCATCACAGTAATGTAAAAACAGGTCTGAAACTGGAGTCTTCTCTATTTGTATAGCTGATTAACCATGTGGATGGATGATAACAGCCTTCTGAGCCTACCAGTAGACGCATTCCGCTGTGGCGACCCCTGATGAATAAGGAACTAAGCTAAAGGAAAATGAATGAATATAATATTAGTGAATCAGTTTCAGTGAATCAAATGTATGTATTTATTTGAATTATATATAATTTATTAATATAACGTATACACGTTTTCAGTGTTTTGAGGGATATTCAGTGTATTTTGACCCACCTTTGACTTTACTTTTAGACTACATGTAGAAACACACATATTTTACGAGAGAACAGTCTTGTGAACACTTACGGTGTCCATCTGTGCTGTAGATCTGCCGGTTCAGATTGCTGAATGATTTCTGTCTCGTATAGACTGATTGGCTCGATGATGCATTCACAATGGTATGGACCGTTTATAGGGGTGGTCAACTGCATGTTTATATTATCTACTGCTTTAATTATTAACATTATTATTTAAAAATACACATCAGAGCGAACTATTCTTCAGTATTAAAGGGCTGACAACCATATATATTGTTTTGAAGTGCTTCAAATAAATCAAGCGTTAATTAGGAGCCAATCCCCCCTGTAATTCGCACGTTGCTTTTACCTATGTATTACTTATCAAGTAAAACGTCTCTCTTCACTTTTCTGCAGATATTAGTGGAGTGTTTCTCAGTGGTGTTCTGCTGCCCTCTGCTGCCTTGTACTGTTAATGACTGCTGCTTTTTCTTTGTATATTATATCTTGTTATTGCTTCAACAGAATATAGAACAATATAAATACAGAATACAAAGAAAGATTGTCAGGGGTGTACTGAAAACAAAATAATAATAAATACTCTTAACATAATAGTTTTATTAACTGATTATTTTTATCTTTGCTAATGACGACAGTACATATTATTTGACTTACTATATTACTAGACACTAGTATTCAGCTTAAAGTGACATTTAAAGGCATTACTTGGGTGAATAGTTTAGCTAGAGAAGCTAGGGTAATTAGGCAAATCATTGAATAATATTGGTTTGTTCTGTAGACCAGTGGTTCCCAAAGTGCAGGTCGAAAAAATATTGCTGAAGGCGGCTAATAATATTGACCTTAAAATGATAAAAAAAATTAAAAACTGCTTTTTTTCTAGCCGAAATAAACAAATAAAAAGAAAAAAAATATTATAAGAAATACAGTGAAAAATTCCTTAAAAAAAAAATATATATATATATATATATATATATATATATATATATATATAAAAAGAAAACACTAGAGGGAAAATAACTTTGACTTCAACTGTGTACTGACCACTTTAATATGTACAACTGCTCATTGTACATAATACATCCATTTCTCACCAGCCAATCACATAGCAGCAACTTAATGCATGTAGACCTGGTCAAGGCAATCTGCTGCAGTTCAAAACGAGCATAGGAATGAGGAAGAAAGGTGACTTAAGTTCAAGACTTTGAACGTGGCATGGTTGTTGGTGCCAGACGGGCTGGTCTGAGTATTTTAGAGACTGCTGATCTACTGGGATTTTCATGCGCAACCATCTCTAGGGTTTACAGAGAATGATCAGAAATAGAGAAAATATCCGGAGCAGTTCTGTGGGCCTTGTTGATGCCAGAGGTCAGAGGGGAACGGCCAGACTGGTATCAGCTGATAGAAAGGCACCAGTAACTCAAATTAGCACTCGTTACAACCGAGGTCTGCAGAAGAGCATCTCTGAACACACAACACGTCCAACCTTGTGGCAGATGGGCTACAGCAGCAGAAGACCACACCAGGTGCCACTCCTGTCAGCTAGAAACAAGAAACTGAGGCTACAATTCACACTTGCTCACCAAAGCTGGACAATAGAAGATTGGAGAAATGTTGCCTGGTCTGATGAGTCTCGATTTCTGCTGTGACATTCGGATGGCAGGGTCAGAGTTCGGCATTAACAACATGGAAGCAGGAATAGTAAGGTGTACCTAATAAACTGGCCGGTTAGTGTATAAAGTATGGATGCTAAAAAACAAAACAAAAGAGAAAGCGCCTTGTGAAATGACAAAATATTCAAGGGTTTAAATTTAAAAATAAAAAATTTTGTGATGTTCATTCATTTATTCATTCATTTTCCGTCAGCTTAGTCCCTTTATTAATGAGGGGTCGCTACAGTGAAATGAACAGCCAACTTATCCAGCATATGTTTTACACCGCAGATGCCCTTCCTGCTGCAACCCAATACTGGGAAACATCCATACACACTCATTCACACATTCACACTCACACACTACGACCAATTAAGTTTAACGCATTCCTCTATAGAACATGTGTTTGGACTGTGGGGGAAACCGGAGCACCCGGAGGAAACCCACACCAACAAGGGGAGAACATGCAAACTCCACACAAAAGTGCCAACTGAAGCAGCCGAGACTCGAACCAGCGACCTTCTTGCTGTGAGGCGAAGTGCTAACCACTGATGATCACATAATGTTCAATTTCTTTAAGTATTGCAGGATTAAATGTTTTTTTTGTGCGTGAATTTGCATTGGTGGATATAAAAAAAGCTTCCTTTGATTGCCGCCTTTTCTCCTCAGGTGACGGTGATGAAGATGATGAGGAGGGTCGAGAGGAGCATCCGCCGTCCTGCTCTGATTACGTCATGCATTTTCTGACGGTCTTCTGGAAGGTTTTGTTTGCGTTCGTTCCTCCCACCGAGTACTGGAACGGCTGGGCCTGTTTCGTGGTTTCCATCACGGTGATCGGGCTCCTGACGGCCGTCATCGGGGATCTGGCGTCGCACTTTGGCTGCACTGTGGGCCTGCGGGACACCGTCACCGCCGTGGTGTTTGTGGCGCTCGGCACTTCCATACCAGGTGCGCTCTCTGCTATTACTACACATGACTGAGTACATTACCGACATATGGTGTTTATTGTAAAGTAGGTTACAGATGAAAATAAGTTTATTTTTGCTCTTCATGAATGCAGAGAAACAGAATATTGAATGAGAAAACAGTGGGCGTGGCTTGTTTTTTCTACTGCGAGCTGATTGGAAGTAGTAAAGTAGGCATTTCATTCAGAAAGATCTTAGGGAAAAGGGTTTGGGGAGAGTTGTTACAACCTAACAAACTCCTCCTGCACACTATTTCTGTTTGTTGTCAAAACTGCCAGCTGGAGGGGCGTGGCTAAAATATTAACCACGCCCCTCCAGCTGGCAGTACAATACCTCAGACTGACCTAATTTGAAAATTTAACTGAAAACAAACAGGAAGTGCATTTTCAGATTTTAATTTTAGTTTACAAGGGCAAAGCATTGTTTTTTCTTCTTAATGACATGCACAGATGAATTGTTTACCACCTAACTAGCAACGTGAGCTAACCAAATCCATATGGTTAGTTCTGATTTCATGTGTACTTTAAGGGTCTGGTGAAGTGCTTTGAAATGTGCATTTTTATTTGATGTTTTACGTAATCTCTATGACTCATTTTTAGGATAGCATAGCAGTGGCAACTACGGTGGCCAGGAAGTGCTAAACAACATTACAAAGTGCAAAACACTTTTACGAAGCTCGAGACACAATTACATAGGAAAAACTATTTTACCAATGATGAAACAAATTTACATTTTAGAAAAAGATTTACAAGATGCAAAACACTTTTACAAGTCCCGAAACAAAGTTAAAATTACAGATTCCTTACGGAAAGGGAATGTACCACACACCGGGGGTGACGTGGAATGTACCACAGTGAAAAACACATGCGCTATAGGAGAATTGTAAAAACTAAGTGAAGTTTATTTATAAACGAATTTTGAGAGGATCACATGCTTATGATTGCTTGCGGCTGGTCCTGCATTATTTAATTAATGATTCTCCAATCAGACGATTCCTAAGCCACTATAATTACCCTATGTTCCATATCATAGCCATCTTCGTTTTGAAGAATCCTCTCCTTCCACCCCTACTCCTTCTCTTTTCCTAGATGGGTGGCACAATGACTCAGTTTTTAGCACTGTTGTCTCACAGCAAGAACGTCACTAGTTTTAGTCTTTACCAAGCCAGCTGACGTTTCTGTGCGGAGTTTACACAATCTCCCCGTGCTCACGTGGGTTTCCCCCTGGTTCCCCGGTTTCCTCCCACCATCCAAAAACATGCAACTTAAGTTAATTGACTAATCCAAATCGGCACCATAGACATGATCCTAGTAAGTAGTTATCTCTTAAGAGCGATCACTATCTGTTCATTAGCTACTACATTAGGGGAGTTCTCGAGATCTACCTGAGCTTAAACTCCCCTCTCGCCTTCAAACAGGAGGGAGCCCTGTGCTCAAAGATCTTATGAGTTCAGGGCTCTCTCCCAGGAAAACATGCCAAACAAGCTTTATAATCAATCATCAGCTAAGTGTGAGCTCTTGAAACTGGCTGTAGTGTATGAGTGTGTGTGTTAATGAGTGTGTATGGGTGTTTCTCAGTACTGGGTTGCAGCTGAAAGAGTGTCCGCTGCGTAAAACATATGCCGGAATAGTTGGCGACCCCTGATAAACAAGGGACTAAGCCTGAGGAAAATAAATGAATGAATAATATTTTATATATTTTTTAAATAATTATATAATAATTATTTTATTTTTATATAATCTTACAAATCGCATCTTAAAGCGCTGTTTCTCTGCTCCTCTTAATGAGCACCTGATCTTTCCCAGAGATTGAATCACTGTCTTTCTCTCTCCCACACATAACTGCATTAGTCTGCATCCCATTGGCTCATTACCATTATCAGCTCTGACACGGCCATTATTAGCTGCTAAACTGTGTTTTGCAATTAGCGTCTGAGTCTTTGGATAAAATGCTAAATTAAATAATAAATTAGTCTCAAAATAATTCTGCTTCACGAACAGAATCTGACATAAAACCTCTTAAAATAAAATATCTGGGCATTGTCTTGCTGCGTGGTAGATGTAGTAGAAGTAAATGAACCCTTTTAATTATTTTAAAAGGGAATACGACAACAACAACAAACCAATTAATTATTTATTCATTCATTCATCTTCTTTTCAGGTTAGTCCCTTTATCAATCAGGGGCCGTCACAGCAGAATGAACTGCCAACATATCCAGCATACGTTTTACACAGCAGATGCTCTTCCACTGGGAAACACCCATACACTCTTGTTCTCACACACACACACACACACTACGGACAGTTTAGTTTACCCAATTCAACCATAGCGCATGTGTTTGGACTGTGGGGGAAACCGGAGCACCCCGACGAAACCCACGCTAACACGGGGAGAACATGTAAACTCCACACAGAAATGCCACTGACCCAGCCGAGGCTCGAATCAGCGACCTATTGATTTTTCTCTAATAGTTTACTTGAGTAAGAGTAAAAGTACACATATTTAAATGTACTCAAAAAGTACGCGTTACCCAATCATTTTACTCAAGTAAATGTAACGAAGTAAATGTAACTCATTATTACCGACCTCTGAGTACAATTAGTTAACAACAAATAAAACTGAATGGTGTTTATTACGTTCAAAGGATTAATAAACATATGCAAATCATCACCATCATTTATCATTTATGTTGCGTGGGTGTTGAGATCCCGATCTTTTTATGATTAATCCTGCAGCTTACACCTATTTCACACCGCAAGTGTCAGCGGCGCGTGAGCAGAGCGTGAGCAGCGCGTGTGTTTTCGGCGTCCATATTAACAGATTAGAGCTTTCATACCGCACGCAGCAACAGCGCGTCAGAGCGAGGCGTGAGCGTCGCCGAAGCAGCAGTGCAGCGATAGTTTCGGCGCTGGGTCTATTTTTGACGCGCTGCTCACGCTCAATTAAAGTGACAGTGCATTGATAATGACCAAAACACATTGAATGACAGTAAAAAGTAGCAATTTTACCCAATAAATGCGTTAATAATGTCAAATGCTTTATATATAGTCATTCAAATAAACTTAAAACGATTAAAAACGGCAACAAACATTTATTTAGGCCCGAACTACAAAACCCAATGTAAAACAATTTTAGTATCAGTTTTGCTTAAGTTGCACACTAGTGTTGTAGGAGAGGGGAAATAGAATATTTACGGGATTTGTAGTCCATAGCGAAGTGTATTGTGGGTAGTGTAGTTCGACACGCATGCTGGATTATGTGAGCTCGCTGTGTTCTGTGCAGCTGAGCAGAGAAAGAAAGTTTTAATCGGCTGTTTTATGTTCACTCGAGTTATTCCTACCGGGAGCTGTTTGCACTGTGAATCTGACAACACGAAAATAAGTAAAAGAAGGGCATGCATTGGTTACTTTTGTCCGTCTCATCCTCTGCACGAGCATGAATTAACGAGCTGTTATTCTGCCGCTGGACATCACTGAAGCGAAGAAAGTAACACTAGTTTGATCATGTATAAATATCATTATAACTATATTGCATAAATATTATTATAACTAGGTCTACAGCAACCTGACAATCAAAAAACAAATGAAATGATATCACAGGCGATTGTCTTCAGACTGTAGACACTTCTCATTTAGCTTGAGAAGCATACATCACTATTTGATCTATAACATTTGTAAAATAAACATTTGCAGGTTAAAGAAACAGCATAGGAGGGGCCTTGGTGCAGATGAAAAGTTTAAAAAGTGTATTTGTAAATAGGGGGACATGGGTAACTAGATAGAATAGACAGAGATAGGTTGATCTCTGCTGCAGCTGCCGAAGAGCTGCGCGCTGTAGACGCAGCTGATGTGAAAGGCAAACACCTGCGTGCTGCTACTGCTCGACATACGCTCTGCTTACGCTCTGCTCACGCGCCGCTGACGCTTGTGGTGTGAAACAGGCGTTACACTGAATGCATTAATACAGGCTAAACAAGTAGTGACAAAAAACATCTTTAATAACCTAAGAAACCCACCACATCCCGAATAACCCACCGCAACTTCATCATTATATTTTACAGAAAAGCCTAAATGCTTTCATATTCACATACTGTTGCCACACAACTGTGTTTAAACCTCATATAAATATGATTTTTGCATAATAGATCCCATTATGCAATGTCTAAGAACTTTCCAAAGCACTTCGTTTTTTGAGAAAATCTGTTGTTGAGCCGTATTGATATGCAACTCTACCACTAATGTTAATTTTTTTTCTTTATTTTTTTCAGACACATTTGCCAGCAAAGTGGCTGCAAAGCAAGATCAGTACGCAGACGCCTCCATCGGAAACGTCACTGGCAGCAATGCCGTCAATGTGTTTCTGGGTATCGGAGTGGCCTGGTCGGTAGCAGCCGTGTACTGGGCCGTCCAGGGAAAGCGATTCAACGTGGACCCTGGCTCTCTGGCCTTCTCCGTCACCCTCTTCACTATCTTTGCCTTCATCTGCATGGCGGTGCTGCTGTTCCGGCGCCGGCCGTCGATCGGAGGAGAGCTGGGCGGCCCTCGAGTCTCCCGACTGCTCACTACACTCCTATTTCTGGGTCTGTGGTTCCTCTACATCCTATTCTCCAGCCTGGAGGCCTACTGCCACATCGAGGGCTTCTGAACAGCTTTCTTTTCCAACATGCACTGATGTTTACCCTCAAATCGAGAGGCTCCGTTTTACGTGACACACAAATTTGCACACACTTTAGGAAAACACGTGAATTGCTGAACGCACTACTAATATCGGTAGAGAATCTGAAGTTGTAGGAATAAAAGATGAGGAAGCAAAGCATGTAGCAAAAGAGGGCAACGATGAGTGTAATGTAGTTAAAAAAGGAACGATGCTGTAAATTAGTCTTACATCTTTTGGTCTCGAGGGAAGAATTGACTTTCAATTTGCATTGTCACTAAACAGTTTTTTATTTATGGTTCAAGGGCACAATTAATCAGAGTAGAGATTTTAAAAAAGAGTCCTCAGAACTATAGTGACGCTAATAAAAATGCACAAGCGTTAACAGATCAGCAGTTTTGCTTCAGCTCTCTGCATCTAAAGCGATCGCTGCTTGAGAGATTGTACAATACAACCACAGAGATCTTGAGCTAAAGCCAAGACAGACTGGGCAACACACTGGACTTCAAGCATGCGGAATTACTTCAGAGCCTGCAAAGTGAATAAGTCATTCTCTAATACTTATTATTTTAAGAAATAACCCCGTTTAAATAACAATGTGCACCAAGTTGACAGTGTTAGAATCAAAAGAGAATCACATCACAATAACAAAATATTTGTTTTACGCTGTCTGGACGGGTTATCACCACCGAGTGATTCAGTTCTTTCAGTTGTGCCCTACAATGGTAGAAATTGTTTACAGTTTGTCAAATAGTAAGAAAAGTAGTCTAACTTTAGGCTAGAGTAGGGCAGGGACAATTTGAAGAGTATACTACATATACATTTAGTTTCACACGAACACATATCCGCTCAGTGTTATGATGCCTCTACAACTGAAATCTTCTAAAATGGAACACTGCTCTCATCATACGACGTCACGATTGGAATCTTCATTCATTTCTGTCGCCTAGAGACAACGGAACTCTCTTTGTGTTCGCTTTTAAAAGTGTCAGCGTAAAGAAACGCATCGTCGTCTTCATATCTCCAGCATCATGTCGAATCGGAGTACAGGAATCGTTACTTTCCCACGTTAAGGAAATAAAAGATGTCTCTGTTGATGTTTGCGGTGGCTCATCGGTCTCCTCAAACTAAACTGTGGGAGTTTATCTTGTAAATACAGGTTTATTAGAAGGACAAATGATTTGTTAACGTTATTACGGTGCAAAAAAAAAAACCTGATGCGTGTTCGCGTTCATTTACGAGTTCTCATGACAAGTCCCTGTACAGTTTCTTGGCATTGTGTGAACCTGTCCGGGGCTGCTTGAACTACAGCGATTGATCGATTTATTGAGCTGCGCACTGATTGGTTCTTTTAGCTGATTATTATGCGTGGTGCTGATTGGTCCCTGACAGATTCACAATAAAATTGTTGTTTACGCGTGGAGCACTCAGGATTGTGTTTGTACGTACGTTACGGAGAATTGACGTGTTTTTATGTCGTCGGCTCATCTGTCTGTAGGTGTTTGTAAAAAAAAAAAACGTGTGTGTGTGCGTGTGTGTACTGTACCTGTGCTGTTCTTCAGGGCTGGACTTTTGTCTGTGGTCTAGTCATTCGAAATGCATGATGGAGAACTATATTGACAGATCTGTAGTGGCATGCTTTGACTCTGAAGACATGCATGAATTTGAAGTTTACAATGTTTGTTGCTTAAAGGGACAAGATGAGAGTTTCTGTGAGAATAGTGATGGCTGCCTGTGTCGGGTCTTGCGTGATATTTTAATGTGAAAATGAGCAATTTATTTATTTGAGAGCGGATCAGGATGTCCTATTCTTTTCACGAATGTCTTGTGAGGAAAAAAACAACACAGTTGATCTGCATTTTCAAGAAAAGACGACTAGCGTTTGCGTATTTTTCACAACATCCATGCCTTTGTTTACAGTGCAGCAGAGAGAAATATGCTCTCCGGCTTACAGTAGATGTGTGAATGAAGCATGAAATGTTGTGTTATACATCAGCATCAGCATCAACTGGCTTAAATAGACTGTTAATCGCTAGGTAAAAAATTCGCAATGGGAGATAATCATATGCTGTGTCCCAATTCGCATACTATCCATCCTGAAGTATATTGGAAAACAAAATGAGTGCATCCCAAATCACGGTTCCTTGAAATGAGTGTTCCAAGGTTATGGTCTACTATTTCCATGCTTACTGTAGTCTAGTGACTAATATTGCCCATATCACTGTGTTAGATGAGAATTTAATTAGAACTACAAATGTGGGTAAAGAGTGTTAACAAACTACAAAAATGGCTGACGCTTGAAACAGTGCAGAAGCTTTGGCAAAGATGTTAATTAAAATTTGAAAAAACTTGAAAAAAAAAAAAATATATATATATATCCATGTTATATTACATCTGCAACAACAATGTGAACTTTTATAAAGATTTAAAACTTCTGAATGCATTATTATGCAAACACCTGAGGAGATTTCTCTGCTTGAAAGGCTGCAAATAGTATCTGGATGCAGCCATTTTGATGCAAGCTGAGATTGCATCACTCAGCGATGCAATGTCAGACACAATGCACTCAATGGAGTGAGTGACGTCACTGTGATGTGTAGGGGTTAGATGAGCGCATTAAATAGCATTGGATGCAGCTCAGATTGCACTGCACCAGGTCTGCATCCAGACCCCTCTTGATTAGCCTGAGGCTGCATCTCCAATAGAGACAGAGCTCAACACGTCATAGTCTGAAAGCCACGCCCACCAGGGAGAAAACAATCCAAAGCACTCCATTGACTTGGATGGAACCTTAAGCCGCCTTTCCACTGCAAACGACAAGCCACAGACCGGAAGTCATTCATTTGCAAGAGAGAGTAGTTCGGGAGTTTCAGTCATATCTGTATATGGAAAATTCGTATCCTATTTAAGCTTTTGATACATTGAAAGATTTGAACTCCTGCAATTAGGTTGTATGTCGACCGGATGTGATGTATTCCAGTGTTGTCCAAGCAGGTTCCTATGCGCTGAGATTAGAAATAGGAGTTTTTTTTTTTTTTTTTTTAAATAAGTCTAAATGAGGTCAATGAGTTTCTAGTATTCATTCATTCAACGCATGGAGAATAAAGGCTCTTGTTTTTGCACTCCTTTATTCTCTCCCATGGTGCATGACAAAACTGTAAATTCTGTGCAACTGCCACAAGGGGGCGTTTTCCGATAGTCGTGTCCAAATGTCGTGTGCAGCGGAAAGGTGGCTTTAGTTCTCTAATGTGAGATGTTGCGATCTACTTCTGTGTGTCCTAGTAATATTTTTGGGGTGGCTAGGTTATAAATACATTATTTCTAGATTTTTTTTAGCTTGCCTACCTTTTAACATTTTGTCAAATATTAACTTTCAAACATTTATTTTTTTATTTTTTTTTTAAGTCAGAAATTACAAGGAGGCACCCTCCCACATACAAGATATAAGATTCTAATGGTGTGATAACCTTGGATACAAAAATATTGTGATTACTGCTCTAAAATATATTCCTTTTAAATTTCTGGTTAAAAACAAGATTTTTTTTCCACTTTAAACACAATGGCTGCGTCTGAAATCTTTTACTTCCATACTATATAATACGCTAAAAACAATATGTGAGCCGAATAGTATGTCCGAATTCATAGAGATTGAAAACCAGTATGCGAGAAGTACTCGGATGACTTACTACTTTTTGCAAGATTCTGAAGTGCGCATGTGATAGACGCTATGCTATATGATGCACTGCAAGAGAATTCACGAATAGTAGTCAAGCGTGTATGTCACTGGATCATGATATCATAGCGGATATAGTACGTCCGAGCTCCATTCATACAACTTAGATTAATACTGTATAGAACATACTTTTTTTATCGGTCGAGTAGTAAATTCAAATTTAAATGCAGTACCTACTGAGTAGTAGGGGATTTCAGACACAGCCAATATATTTTATTTTACGAAAATATTCTGGAGTACTAAACGTGTCAGGCTAAAAAATTCAAATCATTGACTTCTACTGTCTTCATTTCCGTACGTTCACACCGAAAGTGTTGAGAGCATCAAAGTAGCCGGAAGTCATTCAATTTCAATGAGAGTCGGCAGCGAGGAGCTGCGCGGCATGTCTTCACTGGCGTGGGCGTCGAGGAGAGTTGAAATCAAGTCAACTTTATGGTAATGAGCTATGACGTGGTTCGGCAGCAAGCAATCAGAATGAAGAAGTCCACCGCTTGATAGGAGTTCAGATAACACAGACCTGTGAACTTTGGTTCCGACCACAGTTGTTCCCAAGGGTTTGATGATCGCGGTCACCGGATTTCCAATTATTTACAATGTTTTCTTACAGGAACATGCATTAAATAAGTTACTGGCGAGTTACTGCTGTTCATTAATGTTATATAAATATATCTTAAAAAAAGTGGGAATCTCACGCGACGTGACGGTACAAAACAGTATAGCTGTTTCAGGATATTTCAGGCATATGGACACATATTGGCTAAATAGAGCAAAGCCACACCACACTCAACTTGATCTTCCATTGTTTTATGAATTTGATAAGAAGTGCGCAACAATTTATATACGAGATCAATGTAGCTCGTCGCCGGAGCTGAAGGCAGACAGCGTTGTCGCCAGGGTGACCAGAGCGACCTTGGACACTCTCGCCGCTTTCGGTGTGAAGGTACGGTTAGTTTCTAAAATAAAGATTTCTTTATAATTTAAAACGGCACCTTTGGATATCTTTTCTGCGGGAGATACTGTTGTCCTAAAAAATAAATTAAAAAAACGTGACTAAAAAATTTGTACATATACCGTAGGAACAGTATAACAGAATATTTTGCCGGTTTTAAAACCTTGACTTATCCAAACCGCGGTATACCTTGAAAACAGTTATCATCCTATGTCTACTCCTTCAATGGAAAGTCAATACAGTGAGTTAGATTTAACAGATGGGGGCGTGGCCTAAATTTGCTCTCTATTGACCTTATTTAACATGCGTGAGTTGGCGAAGCTATTGGAATCTTTTCGGCTTAACACATTCGGTCTTATTCACTTCCACTGATTCCTAGACATTAAAACAGCTCAGTTTGCAGCTTGATGTTATATTATTTGACTGTTTATGTCTAGTCATGAACACAATTGTTTGTAGAGCAAGTAGTTTGACCATTTCTGCCGTTTATTAGTCATTTCTCTCATGGGTGACTGAATCGGAAGTTCTAAAACAATTGCAAAAAAGAGTAACAAGCTTAATGTGGTATGACATTAAATGTAAATGATGTGTTGAGATGATTGACAGGGCATGTAACTAAGCAAGAGAACCCAACAGACCCAAATTATGAGGACGTATCATGTCCCATACTGTTCTGTTACACACTTAAAAGTATTTACTTTTTCTTCACACAAAATAAAAGTACCTAGATTAAGGATGTAGTATGAGTAGGCGAATTGGGATGCAGCATCTTTAATAGAGATTTTCATGAAACCCTAAAGGACGAATCCAATCCTAGATAAGCAGAGCTACCCTGAATCTGTTTTTGCTCAAAATGATTGCCTTAAGAGACTTACTGATCATTTAATATTTAACTAATATGTGTTAATCCACTGTTGTGTCTGTATTGTGTCGTATGTCAACATGTTCGTGTTTTCTCTGAGTGCAACCAAACTGATTGAGACAAAGTGTGCAATATGCGAATAAACCCTGAGCAACAGCAGGACGTCATGCGCTATTGAGCATGAAACGGCGTTGCTTTAACCCTTCTGTGATTTTTATTTATTTATTTTATTTTTATTTTTTGGTGCCTATCCCGCCCCTATCAACCGCTTCCTTGTGGTTTTCTGTAGTGCATGTAGGCTTTTCCCTTTTAGAGCTACAATGAGAAAGTGCAATAAATGTCAAGCAGGTTTTCTGAAAGCCGGTCATACAGTATCATTTAGCTTAATCATCAATTATCTGGTGTTTTCGTTGAGTTTAAAATCACCCGTTTGCCCTGAATGTCAGATGTTTACTCTTTTTACGAATCTGTCAATGTCAGAAGCTTTGTAAAACTTCTTTTGTAATACGACTTTGTGACATTTTCAGTAGGTGATTTTCTATTTCCAAGTGTACACAAACTGATTGAAACCTCAATAGTTATTGATGTAGTAATGGGTTTTGATAACTGTTTCCAAGACGTTTCAATAATCTCAGTAGGTTTGCTTGGGTTGCAAGAAATCACCATATGTTGTATGATAATTCATTAGAGTAATTCAATGTTTATTAGTGCATCTATGTAGATTTGAACACACAATTGTTAACTAACAGTTGCTGTAGTATGTTATGAATTGATGTTTACTGTTTATTTACGCTCTTAAATTGGATTATGGGGCCTTGATCTCTGCTCTAAGAGCTTTTGTTGATGAAAAGTTGACCTTTATTGATATTTGTAGTAGGTTGAAATAATGTAGTCTGGTTTGGGTTATGCTTTTGAATACACACTAACTGACAAAAGTCTTCACAGCAAAATCCTCTAAGAAAAATATACTCGGTTATCATACTCAAATTATTTATTTATTATTATTATTTGGTCCCTCTTTAAATTGAGTTGATGTTACTCAAGTTAATTAGACAATGAAAGGATTAATTGGGTGATGATTGAGTACTGATGATGAACACCTGCTGTTAATAGGCAGAAACACAGAAGAGAAACACAACACTACAACTGACTTCAGTCACAGCCTTAGATGAAACCAGCTGAAATATAATACATTGAATCTCTCAACATTTCAGCAGAGGATCATTAAGCAACTCCACAAACAACAGCTTTACTTTTTACCAACCTGCTTGCCCTTATTTAAAGAGAGACCAAATATTCTCTGAACTGAGTAAATTAGTAGAGGATTTTGCTGTGTGGTCGTCGATTTCAGTCGTAAAAGCAACAAATAATAACTCGACTTCTAGTTGATCGTTTGGAAAAGTGGCAGAAGGTAGATTTTTCTAATGAATCATCTGTTGAACTGCATCCCAATCATCACAAATACTGCAGAAGACCTACTGCAACCAGCAAGGACTCAAGATTCTCAGAGAAATCAGTCAAGTTTGGTAAAGGAAAAATCATGGTTTGGAGAAACTTGGTTTTGCGAGAGATCTGCAGAGTGGATGGCAACATCAACAGCCTGAGGTATCATTTGTGCTGCCCATTACATTACAAACCACAGGAGAGGGTAAATTCTCCTGCAGGATAGCGCTCCTCATACTTCAGCCTCCAAATCAAAGCTCCTGAAAGCAAAGAAGGTCAAGCTGCTCCAGGATGGGCCAACCCAGTCACCAGATATGAACATTATTGAGCATGTCTGGGGTAAGATGAAGGAGGAGGCATTGAAGATGAATCCAAAGA